CTATTTCTTTAAATCATTTAAATACTGTTTATATAACTAAATTATTGGGCAAATTTCAAGAACTATAGACTATCTTTAAAATGTATGTTAAACCAAACCAAAGTTATACCAAATGAACTTGACGTTCCTTTTGTCTGAACTATAGGTAACAATGCAGTAGACCACAGATAAAAATCTGCATGACTACAGAGCTAAAATAAATGTTTGCTCTGAAATTTAAAAATAAACCCAAGCCTGTAAAGCCGTTCTCCCAGAATCCAGTTAACCATATATATCTACACTCCTCCCTCCTTTTTTTTTTAATCTGACAGCTTGATATACTGTCCCTCCTTTGTTACACATTTTCAATTCAATTTAGCGTGCTACTTCCAATTAACCAGCACACACTTATTGCATTACTTGGCATTCCAGAGGCACACGTGTTCCCTCAGCTCCTGCCAGGGCGAGAAGACAATACCCTCAAGGTGAACACGACTGTTTGTACGGAGAGCATTAGGCTTTGGGAAGGGGCCAAGGAGGCTGATGGCGGCCTGCAGGTGTGCGGTTTCAACGTGCCTAATGCCCAAGTCTTCCAGAAATGCTACACTTCATAACCATCCTCTCCCAGCAAGGTTTATGCTGTGTTTTGGATAGTTCTAATACTCTGGAGTGCCAGAAACCTCGATTTATCAGGCTTGGTCACTGGAGAAGCTGCTCTGGGCAGGCATCTTTATATAAACCCATTTACCTACAGGCCCCATTGCTATTATTTATAAACTACTAAAAGCAGGTGTGATTTCAGTGTTTGCTCTGAATATAAATTAGTGTAAAAGAGTAAAATTTGATCTGTAATGTAAGCCTATTACATAAAAATTATCAATAAGGAGAAAACAAGAACAAGTTTTAATGACATATTTATAAAAAAATTAGCATCCTTTCACCATTACATGTGTACAACAAAGTACAGTACAGCTCTGAGATACACCCCTCCCCATGCTCTTTCAACAGGGGCTACAAATTCACTAAGACACACTATTGCTATACAAGCCCTTATTAAAACCCACAAAAAAAAAAAAAAAAGATAAACAATTTATGTGCTACCGGTCTGAAATGCTTTGTTTACCCCTGGAAATTGCTTTATGGAGCTAAAATTTAAAGCTTTGACCCTGCACAAGAAGGCTCAAGCGCTGCTCACGCGGGAGCTGCTGTCAGCCGCGGGTCACCGTCCGTGCACGAAACCTCTGCCATGGCCTGGGCTCCGGAAGGGCTTCGGCTAGGTTGTAAAAAAAATTTACATGAGGGTGGGAGGATCGAGGTCTCCTGGTGCACCAATTCCCTCCAGAACTCTTCCCGACTTGTCTCTGCTCTGATAAAAAACGAAGCTCCAGGAGCAACGCTGTTATTTGTCATCATTAGGTCAACGGCATGAAGCCACCGTGGCTCCAAAATGTGTCTCTGGCTCCTCTGGAAGGGATACAAAGGTATAATTTCCATGTTTGTCCCCTTGGCAACTTCTGATACTGTTATGGTTATTACTTACACAAACAGAAAGCTGCAGCCAATCAAAATAATATGGTTGGCAAGAAATCTGGGCAAACTTTAATAGCAATGGTTCTTCAACATAAAAAGGATAAAAGTAGAATAATAATTTCTGGCAGCAGAAGCGGAGAATTTTTAAAATTCTGATTGTTTTCCTATGAGGATAGCATTATAAATACTGAAGTCTAACTTAAAACATGTTGTTCTGGTTTCATGAATTCACATTGAGTAAAATTCTGCTGGATCCACTGAGTTACACTCATTTCCATTCTTCTAAAACTGAGGCTATCTGGAATATACAGCAAGGTAAGACAGTGGATTTTGGCACAGATTGCATGTTCTAAATAATTTAAATATCCTTCTGAAAGAAGCACTGTGTGTGTACAAGTGTGTTACACTGGAATACACAAAGTGCTCTTTTCAAGAAAGCTCAGTTAATTTTGATATTCTGGGAAACAGACAGCCAAGAAGGCATTCACCAAATGAAAGATGCATATAATTTGAATATAAATTTCACCAAAGCTTTCATTTTCTTTTTCAATGGGTTTCAGTGCTATATATGATTCTGACAGGAGTTGATGAAACAAATAAGCAAAATTATATTATCTTAGTAATAATAACTTGTCACAAAATGAATCTTAGGAAAACTTCATGCTGACTAATAAACGTTGTTTTGTAGGAACACAATCAGATAAATGTATTGATCTGCAACAAGAAGCAGCATCAGAACACATTGGTGAAAATACACGGAACTTCAGTTTCTTTATATATAAAGCTTGGCTTTTCATCTAGCAAAGGACATCATGTGACCACTTTCCGTAGCTTCAACTATGAAAAAAATTGCAGATCTACAGCTAACAAAAAGATGTTCAAAAGTCTTCTTTTAATCCTTTGAAATATTCAGTTTTGATATTTACTTTTTTATTCTACATTTTGGAATAGAAAGTCAGACTGAGCCCCAAATCAGAATAATCTGTTTAACAGCACTGAAGTGATCTGTTTTTCCCAAGGCAATAACATAAGAAGCTATGAAGTATTTTGAAGGAGGAATGAATATAAAAAGACTATTGCATGTAAATAGTTCTGTATGAATTGGCATTTTCTAATTTAAAAAAAAAAAAGTTTGCTGAAATATTTCCCAGGCAGATTGACTTGGGCCTCTAATTCTTTGGCACAGGCTCAATATCAGTCGCTTAGAATATGTGTTTCATCATGTATCTAGAATTGAGAAATTCTTTAAAAATACTTAATACAAAATATGTTATTTCCTTTATAGTACATATTTACAATTCTGATACGAAGGTACTGAGGAAAATGTAAACAAGTATACACAGGTGTAACGGCTTCAGAAAGCGTTCCCCTTCCATCAGCTGATCGAAGATAGCAGATGGATAAGAACAGTCTATTTTTTATACTGCTGCCAAAGAGCAAGATGTTCTTGTTCCTTATGCATTAGTGTGTAAACATACCAAATATAGGGCCCACTGACATCAGGTATCTTCCCCTAAACTAAAATTCCGGACACACTAGGATGAGTCCAGTGGAAGAAGACCAAGACTATTAGTGGCTGGACGAGAGGTCATTCGGGAGGGCAGAGTCTGTTCAGTGTGAAGATGACAAGGCTAAGGAGAGGTGTTGTTGCTGTCTCAGCTACTCCGTAGGGACTGAAGACAAGGGGCAGCCTTCTTCTCCGAGGTCATGAGGTGAAGGAGATGAAGGGCCACGAGCTCTTCTCTGAAGTGCACGCTGAAAGGATGAGAAGCAGCAGACAGAAACTGCAACATCGGAAGTTCTAGCTCAAAAGTGGGAAAAAAATTTTCATGAGGGTGATCATGACTCGGGAGGGCCCAAAGAGGTTTTGGAGTCTTCATCTCTGGAGATATTCAGAACTCAACTGGACAAGTCTCTGAGTGACCCTGTTTTGCTCTCAGGTTGACTGTGCTTTAATCAGGACCGGGACTGGATCTCCGGAGATTTCTTCCAACCTACTCTATTCTATGAAAAACTTTGAATATAAGGCAATGCTTCCAGTAGTTTGGCTCTTTGGCAAGTGAGCAGTAAACAGTGGCGAGATCAAAAGAAGGCAGTTGCTCTACCCAGATGTTTCTTCTGTAGTAGTTAATAGCATGATATCTAATTGTCCTCTTGTACAAGATTTACCTTACTACATCTGATTCACTTAAGTGAAATGACTTTCCAAAGAAACATTTAAAATGTCACAGCTGACAGAATAGGTCTACTGAGAACGACACGCTTCTGACTAGCTGGGGGAAAATGGCAATTTTGACACATTTACATCAAGTAAATTTTCTGGTAACATTCATAGAGCTATGAAGAAGAAATGACAAGGGATCGGAATCAGCACCTGGGAATTTCTGACTGAAAGCACAGCCGGTTAATTAATATGGTCACAGGCACAAATGACTTTCAATACCCATGAAGTGATGAATAACAACAATAAGCCTTCCATTAAGTTTGAAAATACCTAGCAAATTTGTATTGCTTCCAAAACATCATAGTTTGAATTAAAGTCCCAGGTGAGCAGAAGTCACTTATTACTTACTGGCCACTTAATGACTGAGATTTGTTTAAGACCTGAGGTGAACCTTGGGGTAACTCTTATTTCACCTACTCATTACCCAACGGCAGTAACAACAAACATTATTTTGGAAATCACAAGTTAGCATCAATTACTGCAACTTTGCCTCTTCCAAGAGGAAAATCTTTTCTTAGAGGGGTAATTTATTGTGGAAAGTTAACAGTAGGTTGAATACAAGACCTGCAAATCTAAAGAGCCTGTGATTCTGATGTCTTTTAGTTAAGTGCACTTTTTATCTAGTCAGACTGAAGAGGTTACTGCATAGGTATGTAAACTTCTAATAGACCCAAAAAGAGGTATAAAGAGGTACTATGGAATCAGGATATTAAAATAGAGAACATTATGTCTTTATAATGACCTTGTCCTCATTAAACAGCAGTCTGTAAAAACAGACAAAATAGCACCAGAATGTCTTTATCTTGGTTGCAGATAGGAGACAGCAAACAAGGATAGATGATTTTCAGGTAAAGATTCTTGTGTATTCTTTATGCAATGGGCTGTAATGTGCTTTTGCTACACAATAAGTTGATTAAGACAGCTTTAAAAAGTCCTGATAGCATTCAACATCTGCTGTCGTTCACTTACTATAACAAAGATAAAGGGTTTTTTTGGTGTGTTTTTTTGTGCACTGTTTTATGGGAAGTACTGCATAGTTTGACTTGACAAACCGTGGAGAAACTCAAGTGACAGGAGAAACTCAGACAAGCCTGATAGAGGGCACCCTATGTTTTGGAAGGCAGACATAAATGAGATACAAACTGAGACCTTCCTGTCTCTGAAACTCAGGCAAAAAAGGCAGTACATATTCTTAAATTAGTTAATAACCGAACAAGGACTGCGGAGAATTTTTCATCAATGGCAATTTTAAAATTAGACTAGACATTTTTATATAACATATGATGCTATTTCAAGAGGCATTAATTCAGGGAATTCTGGGAGCCTCTGGTCAATGTGATTTTGCAGTGGATCCATATCAGCTTCATGATCTACGAAAAACTCATTTAACTTCACTCTGGTTGTCAAGTGGGTTTAGAAAGTCACTTAAAGTTAGTGTGGCTCACTGTAAGTTGATACGTTCCATACTGTTTATCCTGATACTCTGGAGCTGGTTTTACTAAAAATGTGTCCAAGCTTTCAAACAATGAATTGTATTATAAATCAGAAAGAATGTCCAGTTCAGATTAATTGAGGGGCAAGAGGCTAGGAATAAATATACATAAAACAGATTCGACTTTTTAAAAGGATCCAGCTACTAAATGGCCTCTGTAGTCTTCCATAAGAAGTGTGAATACTTCAGTACCATTCAAGCTGAATTGAATAGCCATTTTCATATCCAAATTCAAATACCGTCTGTGCATATAAAACAGTTCATTTATTAATCCAAATGTTACTGTTGCAGAGCTCTTGGAAAAACATTCTCTCTTTCTTGCGTTTGCTCTTCATAAAAGGGAAGTTTTGGAGGGCCACCTAGAGAATTCAGTAGAAACACAATTGTAGGTCTATATAATTCTGAAATACTATATAGATTATACAATTCATACTTAAATAATTTAATATACTATACCTTTCAAAAAAAGTAAAGGACTGAGCTACACTGAATTCCTCATAGAGAGGGACAGAACAGGTACAACAACAGTAAAAACCTCTCAAATGGAAAGTTCACAAAGCGTATCCTACAATAAATTCATTCTAAATTGTATGGTGTTGCTCACCAAGCCAACCATGATTAGATTACAGGTGGGAGGAAACCTTCACACAGTACTATACATCATTAAGAAGTCATCCAAACTAAAAAAAAAGAAAATACTTAGGATACTGTGCTGAGTTCTTCAGCATCTTCACAGAGCAATCCCAATCTATTTGTTGATGCGTTATCTACTTATGTGGCCGCTTATCATATTTATTAATTCTTGGCCTCTTACGAAGGTAACACACATGGCTACAACACTACCAAGCAAAGCTGCTGCTATCAAGGCCTCGAGGTTTTTCCACCAGAGATGGAAATGCAGATGGCTGTTTGATTTATGCTAAGGAAGCCTACCCATCTCCAGCTTGCGTTACCTTCCTTGCAGGTTGGCCCCGTCCACGTGGCCGGACAGACGCAGTTCCCGTTGTGAGGATTGCACTGGGATCCGCTGGCACACTGGCACTGCAGGGAGCAGTCTGGGCCGTAGCGGTCCCACCTGCACCCTGGAAGGACAAAGCATTAGCAGTGAGGGGTGCGCTCCTCTCGCCCCTCGTGGCTGCCCTGCACGGAAAACGTGTGCATAGAAAAGGAAGGAGTTGAGACCAGTGGCAGCATTCAGGGCCAAATGCACCAAGTAGGAAAATTGGGGATATTTATTAAAAAAGAAACAAACAACAGCAACAAAAACCCACCCCAAACCTCACAGGAAAGCCACTGGCTTTTCGCTGGGCAGGAAAGGAAAGCCCACACCGGCTCTGCTGAGAATTCAAACCTCCATCAAGTTCTGCAAACTGGGAGAAGCCTTGCTGGGGTCACCTGCTCAACTGAAAACTTTTTTTCTTGTTTTTGTTTAATGTCTGCTAAGCATCTAGCCTAAGAGCGTAGGTTAAGAGACTTTGTCTTGTTTTACCTAAGGTGATATACCTACCTCTTTAAAACAAAAACCAGCCCAGTATTACTGCATGGTATACGGACGCTTCTGCCATGGCTTCATGACAGAGAGGACACCTGGGGCCAGGAGGCTGCTCAGCCTGCTAACCCCAGAGCAGCAGGTTGCAGGGAGCCTTGCAGGCTCCCCAGGTCATCTACTACATGCTCCCAAACAAAGTATGCCCCAGCTTTCCTAACGAAGCTCCCAGAATGGGAAAGCCCTTAATAGCGTAAAACCACAGGATGTCAGTGAAAGAAATCCCGGGATTTGCTCAGGAAAGTTACTGTCAACGTGCTGGATCCGCATTCTCTGTTCCGTACATCTATTTCATATATACTCATTCGTCTTCTGCCAATCACACATAATTCTAAGGACAAAAAAATACACTAAATGTCTTAATCTCATCTGCTTTTGCTGCAGAGGATGAACAAGCCAACAGGCATTTTGCGACTGGGCTGACAAATTCTCATGGCAATTTTTCCAAGATGTTTATGCCTCAGCGCATAGGCACGAAGGGAAAGCAGGCAGCAGGTTGCAAGGCAGGGTGCTAAACACGCTGCAAGCAGCAGCCCTCTGTCCCTCCAAGCCACTGCAGCCCCCGGGGCTCCTGCTCCCTCGCACGGCCACCCCTCGGCAGGCGAAAGCTCTGCTCGGGCAGCAGCCCTGGGGCAGCCCCCCTGCGCTCCCAAGCTTGGCCTTTGCAATTAGGAAACGTTATGAGAAAAGGTCTCCTCGAACACCTCTGGACCTGACTTTAATTTATGTAATACCACATTTTCATTAATAACAATGTGTATTTAAGACATCTGTTTGGAAGTCTGCAATGTTAATTTACTACAGCAAAAGAGAGCCCATAAAAGTCCGTTATATTCTCTCTCTCTCTCTCTTTTTTTTTTAATTAACATTTTGCCTGTTTAATGGGTGCTTTACCAGAGTTCAAATTAAAATCAGGCCTTTTATCTTTATGGCTGCTGCACAGTCACAGCTGCTCACAGTTATATCACAGATGAACTGAGCCTAATTGAAAATAAAAATGCAAATAAAACCTACCCTGTAACAGCTTTTCATGGATGGGGGCTACCCTAGCTGATTTAAGAAAAATAAAAATGACTCCTATAGTTTGCAAGAAGCAAAAAACTTGTTTCACATTTGTGGTGCTGAGCTTCCCCCTTGTGTTTTATTTTTGCCTAAAATTTCACTGGAAAAGACTCTGGATTCACGGAGCCTTACTCACTTCATAGTGTGGCTGGACTCTCGGTCAGCCCAGCGCCTGCAGAGTGAGTTACTTGGATTTCTGACCACAGGACGGTGCAGGGAGGGTAGCAAATCATTTTCCTTTTTAGTTTCTGAGTTGCACTTAAGCTCCCAGCAATTACTTACCCCTCCCTTGCAGTAATAGCATGATGTTTAGAACTGTTTCCTGCCCTATCCTAGAACAAAAGGATTCCCCAAACATGATCCTGGGGCTCTGGGCATTGCAGATCCCGGTGTGATCCTGTAGTATTAGCACATGGACGTTCACAGCTTTTAGCATGTTTGCTATGACATGATGATTTGTTTTTATTTTAATTTAGTGATTGTCATAAATTCACACCAGCATTACTGAGACCAGAATCTGGCTCAGGAACTTCAACTATCATTAGTGCCTCTCAGCTCTGCAATGATTTCACCAGGATACAGCATTTTGGTTTGTTTTCTTTACAGTATTCTCACCTATTTTTATACCCTTGTTATGAAATAATTCAGCCTTTGTGGGCCAGCTCATTACCAAACACACAGCCCAAGTGCCTGTGCTGCAAATGAGGGAATTTTATTTGGATCAAACGTTCTCGGACTACTACTGAATCCTGGAGCCAGAAATAGCTGCTGCAGGTCCCCCACCTCCCACCTACACGTGCAATTGGATCCCTTCACACTCCTGTCAAGCATCTTTCCACCACGTCTGCAAAACTGCTATTTGCACTACTTTCTTGGTATATTCTTCAATAACGCCTGAAACTCAGTGCCAAAGAGGGACCCACAGAGCTTTCCTAACAGTGGGTCACTCTAGGTATTGACTGAAACAAGAGGGGCACCCTGTTGTTAAGGCTGTTTAATCTGCAAGAAAATACTTAGCTGCAAACGTTCAGAAACACACTATGCCAGGAAATGTCCTTTTTGCAATTATGCCAAAACCAGCAGGTCACACCAGTTCAATTATGCATAGTCCAGCCCTCAGAAAACATCACTGCTCTTACCAACACTGCATTTGTCTCCGGTCTTCCCGGGCGGGCAAAGGCACTTTCCAGTGACGGGATCACAGGGAACTCCTCCGCAGTCACACCGAAGCTGACACCTCTCTCCAAACCACCCGGCCTCGCAGCCTAACATAAAGAGCACTTTTTCAGATGCACTGCATATTTGAATTGCAAGAAATACATTAGTTCAGAGGAGTTTTTCAAGGATGTCTCACAGGACAGCTCATAAACTCTGAGCTGAACCTAGTATAAATGCCAAATTTAATGAAGAATGGAATATCGTGGAAGAGGCATAATATTTATATGATCTCTCTTTATGTTGGTTTAGTCTAATCCAACCTATCAAAGGTATCTGTAAATCTGTCCCAGAAATGTAACTGGCACTTATTTTCATTTTTAATTAGAAGTCTTTGGAAGACTATTCCGTAACACTCAACTGGTTTAACATACACCAATTTAATAATCTCATTTGAAATTTTAGAAGCAAATTTAAAATCAGTAAAAGGAACTCATTTTTAATAATCAACATGTGGAACTCATTGCTGCAAGACATCATGGAGACGAGGACTTTAACTGTATTAATCAGAACCAGATTAGTTTGTTTATAAGGGAATGACAACATCCAGGTAAACAATCCCAAATTCACTGTTCAGGATATTCATAAAGCTAAAGGTCTGGACAAAGTTGCTCTCAACAAAGTGAGGTACTTAGGGTTTTTTAAGAAAATTATATGTGTATACACACCTTTTTCACAGTAGACACCTTGAAAACCTAAAGGACAAATACACTGTCCTGTCACTGCATTGCAGCTAGCTCCATTCTTACAGCCACAGGCCTGAAGACAGTTTAGCCCATAAAATCCAAGGGGGCACCCTGAGAAATGAAAGTGCCAAATGAGGAAAGTTGATGAAGAAAAACATACAGCCCTTTAAAATCCTGGGCATTCTCTGCTGTGTTCCCTGTGAGACATTAAACTGCTACACGTTATAATCTCTATGCCATGTGCTTTTAAATTCCCCACTAACACCCCCAGTGCTAGAGACAGCAAGTTATTCAGATGTCAAAGCTGCCTGGTGATCTGGGAGACCCCCAAATCTTTTACTGAACCGCAGAAGTGTTTAAATGGCTATGCTGAGGATCCCGCATGGTCTTATGTTTGGAAAGCGACTGCTCAGGCAGTGGCAGGGGTTGCCCACTTACTGTGCTCACACGCGTGGCCAAAATAACCCTCGGGGCACCGACAGCAGCCCGTGAACCTGTCGCAGGTGCCGTTGTTCCGACACGGGCAGTCCAAGCGGCAGCCAGGTCCGTATTTACCCGGGAGACATTCTGCTGACAGAACAAGAGCAGCACAAAATCTTTTTGCTGACCTCGCGTGGATAAATCGCCTTCATAGCTGCAATCTAATGGCCATATAACAGCTTATAGTGCTGAGACCAACACTTGTCACTAGTTTCAAACTCCCACCCCCTTCTGCACATTGAAGACAGTATTTCTGCACAATTATGATACATTTGCTTACTTTGGTGAGAAATGTTTTGTATTATATACGTAGTTGTACAGCACTTAGCACATGCTTGTAATAGTCCACCTTTAAAATTTGTCTCTTTAGATAGTTAATGCTGGAAAAAACTAACGGTTTTGCAAGGTCACATAGTAAATGTTATCTTCTCCACTATTTGCCTATCCACAACAATATTTCTTACAGGGACTTATAAAAACTACAAAAATACAGCTTTTTTTGGTCTGTGTTGTCATTAGAGTTCACACTCTTCCAATTTCTAATGAAAATGGAAGGATCTCTGTTTCACACATAGTGACAGACATTCCATGTGTAATTAGATATCTACTTTTACAGAACTAAACATGTCTCAAATTACTGAAAGCCAAGTCATGCAAAAATGACTGTGTCAATATAATTAACCTATGCATCATATCTGCAGAAGTTAACTTCATCACTGCTGTGGTAATTTGAATCTGGAGCAGACTGACTTAAATGAGTGTGACCATCCAAATAATCAGATTCATAAGTCTGCAAATGTCAGACAAGGCTTTTTTTTTTGTATCTTGCAAGAACATCATGTTTAATCAGTAGGAAAAAAATGATGCATGGCTGCAAGATGCCTTTCAGGCAAAACATACCGAGAACCACACTGATGTGGAAATCAAGATTTTGTTTTCCAACAGCTTGCCTATCTATATGGACAGGTAAATGGTGAAGATCCTTCTAGCAATGCACACATGGTTCTTCATATAATATGAGACCCTGGTCCTCAAAATCTGGGACGTTTTAACTAAGCATATCTGTTAGATATGCTTGCATGATCCACACTACCCTAGGACACCTGCCTGGCCCCAGGAAAGTTCTCCTACCTGCCTACAGCTAATGAGTGCTTACAGAGATTCCAAGGAACAGACAAATACGGGTGAATATCCGTGTCTGCACAACCTTTCAGTCAGGTATTGGCAAACCTCACTTTCCTGGGGGCTTCCTTGAGTGACTGTCCGCAGTGGCATCTTTTCTCCCTGCTCCTTTCCTACACACACATGCATATAGAGGGTCTCTGAGTCTTTTCAGGTGCAAAGTGAAATCGTTCCACAGAACAATTCTGCTAAAAACAGTGTCATTTTAGGATATCTCTATAATGACTGATTCTTGGCATTGTTACGGAGGGAGCTTGAGGTGGATGTTTTGCAGATATCAAGGAAGGAAACACATGATAGCCAGGGAATTACACGACGGCAGTGGTGATGACACCATCTTGAAGGTAAACTCAGAACTATTTATTTGACAGTGTATCAGAAAAATTATGATTTCCTGCACATTAAATCCGTAACTACACAGGTACCTTGATCTGGAGAGACAAATGGGAACACAGAAATGCATGATGACTTTTGGGAGATAGGAAGAAAGGATACATGAAAAGAATCTATTGTGGGCTGGCAAAAGTGTTCCTGGAATGAAGAGTGAGACTGTGTTGCTGAAGCTTGTTTTGCATTGTCTAGAGACTATCACAGAGAAAACATAGTAAGGCTTTTTTCCTTTTTTCTTTTTTTGGACAGCTAGCGCCAGGACTATATTAATGGTGCAAAACAGGGTTCACATGAACAAAAGAACATGGAAGATGGACAGGAGGAGATATAAGACATCATGCCCGGGAACTTGGGAGAATTCCGGAGCAGGATTCTTGAGGAAAGTGTCTCCAAAAAAACAAAACAAAACAAAAAGAAAAGACCAAATGACCTAAAGCTCTAACCTGGGGCTAGTCTGCTTGAGAGGAAACTAGAGTGATGAGTACACCTGGGAGGGTGTCTGCTTCAACAAAACCTGCTTCATTTCGAGTGTGTGTAGATACTGGAAGCCCCTGCTTGAGTCTACGTGTTCACTATCATCAAAGCAGAAAATTACCTTTCTCACAGGAGCTCCCAGTCCAGCCAAGGCCACAAGCACAGCTCCCATCCACCTGATCACAGGCAGCGCCGTTCTGACACGTGCACGTCAGCTGGCAGTTGGGGCCATATTGTCCCTGGGGACACACTACAGAGAATTAACAAAGTTTGGAAAAGAAGATATTAGCATCACAAAGGAGGAGGAAAGTGACAGGGAACAAAAACAGACGCCTGCTCCCTGTACAGCATCACAAGTGCCGGATGCAACAAGGCTGCGTGACACACACAGCTCGTCACTGTACATTTATTAGCAGTTTAATTCAAGCACTCCCTGTCTCACCCCATATCCCTTTAGCTTCACACCCCACTTGCTCTCCTCCCCTTGCCCCATCTCTCTCCAGTCTTCTCCTCTGTACGTCCTCTAACCTTCCCTTTTGGGTTTCAAGCAGTTGGCTTGGCAATTTAGTCCCAGCCATCTCCCGTGCCCTCACAGTGCTCACCACCGAGAGCTGCCCTTGCCCTGTCCTGGGTTCACATCCCATGTTCAGAGCACAGTGTTTGAGAGCTGTGACTTCTTTTGCCTTGCAGGGAACTAGTGCAACGGCACCAATGGTAGTGGGGCCAAATGGTGAGGCCTGGGCAGGATGAAGGAGGACCAAGGGAGCACTGAGGGCCAGGCGTCACGATCCTGCGAGGTGCAGCGAGGTGAAGCCGGGCTTCAAAAACGTTGGAAAACGCAGCCAAAAACAATGCTTGGTGCTGAGGTTAACGTGCTGGCTGTCCCAGGGACGTGTCCAGCTGCCAGGATGACCGCGGGCCCCGCTTGGTTACCTTGCTGACAGCCTGCTCCCGTTTGGCCAGGGGGACAAGAGCAGTTGCCAGTCCGTGGGTCACACCGACCTCGGCCGCAGGAGCAGAACAGGGCGCAGTCCTTCCCGTACCGATTTCCAGGGCAAGCTGAAGGAAACAGAGGCTTTGGTTAAACCCCCTGGGTGCCCAATGCCAGTTTTCATTTTTAACAGAGGTGGCACCCTGCAGCACCAGCTCAGTTTTATTCCAGTTAATGTGTTTCAAAACAACAACTATGGAAACCCCATCCAAAGGTACAATAACTTCTGAATGTTTTTATAGCTGTCCTCCATGCTTCCATGTGGAACATCTGGAAATTTTTCCACCACAATGGTGGCTGTACAACTGGAATGTCACCAAGTTATGCTTCCAACCAAAGAATTCTTTCTTTCCTTAACAGCGATGTTCTCTTGTATCGAACGGCGAAGTTTTAGACTCCTGAACGTATTAAAGTATTGCCTTTCTGTGATAAGCTGATGAGAATTTCAAAAAGAGATTGAAAACGATAAAATAATAGTTAAGTTATGATTAGAACTAAAACCTGTACAGTTGGTACAGGTACAGCATGTGGAAATACCAAATTACCCATATTAGGAGATATAGTTTTGATAATACCACAGAAATTCAGGCTCGTAACCCAGGCCTCGTGTAAAGGAGGAAGAGCAGGGTTGCCATGGACTCCTTACCAGCTTTGCCATGACAAAACTTGAACTTTCTCCCATTTACTGAAAATAACGACAGCACAGAGTGAAGCAAAATATTGGGATAATTTCTCAACTGAGAAATTTTGGACAGGAAAAAGGAACTTGAGCAATTCACACTGAGCTGTCTCAAGAAATAAATTTGGGCAGGCGGGCTGTAATCCTGGGATGAGTATCCCTGCTTCCGCCCGTATGAAAGAGGGATTATCCTCAGTGTTTGTTAAGGGAAGCAGCCCGTGGATGGGGCTCACCCTCGCTGCAGTCAGCTCCGATGAAGCCCGGCGCGCAGTCGCAGGTGCCCGTCGCAGGGTCGCAGTGGCCTCCGTTCAGGCATTTACAGGATTTTTGGCAGGAGGAACCGTAAGTACCTTTTGGACACCCTGTTTAAAAAACAAAGCCAAACAATAAAGCTGTCAGGCTGTGTTGCGATTTGGACCATTGCATTTCCTGTCGTAAGCCCTTTGTCCAGTCCTCTAGGGACTCTTCCTCTTTGATTTCTATTCCAAATCACCTGTTTTCCCTTCTCCTTCCAAGGCAGAGATGGAGATGAAGCCTTGGTCCCTCCTCCTTCGGGCAAAAAACAGTCTCTTTTGCCTGTGAGAAGACATGAGCCATCTCTGCCTCTTTTAGATGTCATTCTGAAAGACCTGTTCTAGTCAGTAGGTCGGATCTTCATTTTTCTTTTTTTTTTCTCCCCCCAAAAGTTTATATAGTACAGAGTTTGTTTCCTCTCTAATCTGAAACTTGCACTGCTCAATCTAGTCTAGCGGGTTGTGGATGGAACACTATGGAAACGTGTGTGTTACTGAAACAAGAGATTCAAGAGACACCTTTTCAGAAGATGGCTGTAGGGCAGATAGATACACTTCACATGCAAAGCCAAAAACTCTCTGTGAAAAGAAAAACTGTGTTTTGTAATAACCCAAGCAAACATTAGACTTGGATGAACTGCTGAGCCAATGTCACATGGTTGTCCACAAACAGGATTGTTGAGTATTTTCTGATAGTGGGTATTTCTGGTTTCTTTCTGGACAACTAATTTTGAAGGAATGCTGAATACAAAACTAGGGTGACTTCAATGCAACTGTTATACTTAGCTCACATCTTCAAGATACTCTCCTGAAGCATGAAGGCCAGAAGTAAGAAAGTGTTGGGGACAGTTCCTAGGTATGTGCCTCTAGCTGTCTTGGTTGACTCCAGCATGCTAAAACTGAACTCTGGAGATCATTCTCCTGATTTTCTAATACTAGATACAGAACAGAGAAGACTGGAAGGGGGGAGAAGCCATTGCTCTTATAAAAACAAAAATATGAACAGGGCTGAACAGTATCTCCCTGCAAAATGAGGAGAGAAGAAGAGAGAGAGGGACAGACTGAGATTATGCTACATCTTTAAAAGGATATATATATGTATATATATTTAATATAACTGAATGGGCTTTGTTTGAACCAGGATAGCAGATCATCAGGACTAAGCAGATACACACTTCTACATCACACAGATCCTCTCCCTGGTGCCTTCTTCTCAAAGAAGACTTTGTGCTTCCATTTGTCAGTACAGAAATTTTGTTTCATATGCAAATCTTGGCGTTAAAGAATGATCCTTGAAGCATCTATCTAATTTCTACCAAGAAATGAAGTTAAGGACACACCCTGATTAAATGATTTAGTCTGGACTTGCAGAGAGTTTCTTCCCCTTTCCTTTTGGTCATCGTTTGGCTTTTCTCTGTTTTAATTCTGTCTCCCACACTTCCAGCTATGCTGCTTCTCCCTGGTAAAGCTTTCAGAATTGGTCTTCAGTTCAAAACTAACAAGAGCTGTTCCCTAACTAAAAAGGGATGCAATATTTCCCTCCTTACAGATTTATTTATCCTTGCAGGGTTTTATTTATTTCATTTCAAGGGGAGTAACACAAGCAGGGCAAACGCATCGCTGCAGCATTCACATGATTATTAACAAGGCTGTCTCATCTGTTACCACTTTGCAAAAGAACTTACATGCAGACAGCTAGGGCAATTTACACAGTGTCCTGCCATTTAAGTAGGTTCTGCATTTATTAAGAGGGTTAGCCTCTAACCACCAGTTATCTAATAAAGACATTTTCTAATTTAACAGTTTCCTGTGCATCTGACTTATGTTTTTGTCAGAGCGGCAGGAACTGCAGCCAGATTTCTAACTCATTTCCTGATCTTTTCCTTCTGGTTTGGGTGGGTTTACCATGACCAAGAGTTCCTAAATCTTTTCATACCAACTGCGTGCACTAGGGCTTTCCTTACCAATATTACTAACTGCATTGCCAAAAACACAGTCTTGTTGCATCTGGTTTAGATACCTTGAAGGTGAAGCTGGTGAGGTCGTTTTGGCTCAGAGTTCATCCAGCTCAGTAAACAGCACAGAGATGCAGTGTGGTTTTTGTTTCTATCCATTACAACAACTCTTATTTTTTTTTCCCCAGCTTCTCCACACTCAAGTATATCTGTCCATCCATCGAGTTATGGACAACTGATGGGAACCTCATTGCTAGTTTGCCTGCTTCCTTTGTATCCTGCCAGGAGACTATTTCAGTCCCTCACTCCAAAATTTGAGAACATGAAAGCCTAGTTGCTCTTGGCTCCTGGAAATTTGACTTCCCAGCCAACTACACCTTTTATAGATATTTTCTTGAACCCTTTTTCACAGTACTAAAAATATAGCAATAGTTGCCAGAAACAATTTCCAGCAGCATCCAACCACATGTTGACTGGACTGAAGCCCACTTAGCTTCTTTGGGAGCGGCTCCCTTTGCTGTTTTTAATATTACAGCGAAAGCTTCTTCACCATGGAGCAGCCCCAAGCCTCCATGTAGCAGAAACGAGGAGTGTTTCTCCCAGTGTCACGCTAGCTATCTCTGGTTATCAGACAGTGTGAGTTCAGAATCAGATCCATAATGTCTCACTTCACTGACCTATATACAAAAATAACTTACACGTAAACGGCTCTGATTCCATCTTCATGTCTCTACAGATTGGTCCGATTTACAAGAGAAGAGGGATAAAAAGGAAGAAGGAGGGCTAAGAGATGTGAGATAAATTTTCCTCCTCTTTAAATCTCTACACCAGTAATACAAAGACATTTCATTATCCCACCACTAGCATTTTAGCAGAACTGTATTGATTAACTGAGAATTTGCTCTTCACGATACCGTATACTGTTGGAATCTAGAAAATATAGAAAATATAGGTTTAATCCTAACTACAGACAACTACACAGCAAAGCCCTCTTTGCAACAAAACACAGCTTTCACTTTGCAAGTAACTTCTTTTACATCAGCATTTCTATATTATCTCTCTCTCTCTATATAAATATATTTAATTTGGAAGTAAAATCTTAAGTATTTAAGCAAACTTAAGACACTCATTATAACCTACTGAGATTTAGAGAGAGATACAAAGATAATGACTATTGCAAGATTGCTACATAAAAGGTAATAGTCTAACCATGATTAAGTCTTTAAAAAACAGCACTGTTAAATAGATGATCTCTTCTACTGCTCTATTATAATATTCACCATAATTCAATTGAAATGGATCCAGATGGCTCAAACCTAGATTTTGAAGGCCAGATTTTGATCTCACTTACAGTGGGAACTGATGTACAACGGAGAACAGAATCAAACCTTACATATTATTTTTTATTTATTTTAAAGAATGGCTTGTGATAACGTGACGGCAATACAAACATTCTTCTCAAATCTTAGCTGCTTCTACTCCACGAATAAAACACAGGTTTAACCCTTACCAGATCTGCACATATTGCAGCTGGCCTTTGCATCCAAATCATCGCCCAAAAAAGCAAGCAAACTAAAACAGAGCCATTCTGGATTCCTAGGAAAGGAAAATCAGCGTTTGCCAAAGAGAGAAAGACTGAGCTTGAAAAAAACAGTCTTTTACTCTTTTATGAGACTATTACAAGCCATGGAGTAAAAACAAAATTAAAGTTGTAAATAAAAAGGTAATTAACTGTCTCCTTTTTTGGATACCTCAGTATATGTTTCTTATCAGTTGCCACATTCCACTACAAACAATTTTACAGATGTCCTAAAATACCAGCATGAGGCATGTGGATCTGGGACTATTTTTTATGATGGAGTGTTCAGCCAATTGGCATTCTGTCCTTTACACCAGTCACCATTTTTCAATACAGAGTAACAATTTATTTAATTTGATTGTTCCTCAGAAGGCTCTACAACTTAACTGACTTTATGAATCACTTAGATTTATTGCCAATCGCAGCTCGTTGTTTTATAATAACCATTTGTCCTTACTTCAACACTCAAGAGATTTCGGGAAGCATTTTGGCCTGGGTATGTTGGAAAAAAAAAAAAAGGGCAAAAAGAAGAGGGAAAAAAAGCTATATAATATCCTTTCGTAGCTGAAGATTAAGAGTTGTAAATGCAGAGAACTATATTGATATTCTTCAGTGTGGCATGAAATTGGATAGAATTTCGCTGGCAAATGATCCTGTTGCCCACTTAAAGCTCCATCCAACAACGCAGGCGTTGCTGTTATCGTGCATTAACACGAGCTGTGTCCTGGTCAGTGCTGAGGGCAGTGACAAGGATGAAGGCAGGGGCTCCTGCGTACTCACTGTGCCTGCAGCGGGCTCCAAAGTACCCCGGCCGGCAGGCGCATCTGCCCGTCACCGGGTCACACTCCTCCTTCTCCGCTGAGCACCGACACACGCGGTTACAGTTCTGCCCGTACGTGCCCGGTGAACAAGCTTGGGGAAGAGGAAATGCAAACCAATAAATTCAATTTGTCCTGGTAAATAGAGCACTCATACAAAGAGCAAGCTCAAATTTATTAAATAAAGCCCCTGCCTACAGAACTATGCTGTCCTCCGGGACTTGGGATTTATTACATTTACTTGGGGGTTACTTCACTGCTTGATTTTGTTTCGCTCAGTCAATTTGTGCCCAACTGTCAAGGGCCAGATACAATTTTCTTGTCACTAGAGAAAATCATAGGGAAATGTCAGGTAAAATTGACTAAAATAACAGTATAATTCACAGGGGACCAGGCACATGGATAAAGACATTCTGCCTTTCGCAGGGCGTTTAAACTTGCAAAGCCGCTTTAGCACATTTATTCAGGTTGCATTTTGTCCATCACAGTTACACTGACAATGTTTTTTGGTCTTGCTGTGTCTAATTCTTACATTACTGCTTCCTACAGCATTTCCTCAGTTCAGGCCCTCTTGCCAGGCAATGTAAATTGGTGCAAAGAGCAGATGGACCGGATTGCTATTAACACAAACGACGCTGGGTTTCGCCATCCCTTGCCTAAGGAGGTGGCCTGAGGATCTGCTTCCTGCAGCAAGGAGGAGGAAAGTAGGAGCTCCTACAAGACAGACAAACTGCAGCTATTGCTGGGTCGAGGAGAAATTTCATCAACCCCAAATCTTGGCTTTTCCCCCAAGCAGCAGCCAAGCCTGGTCTTCTCAAGGGGCAGCAGCACTTCTGCCCTTGCTTTTCAAGCGCTGATTAACTCAACGCTTTAGCTATTTAAGATATGAACCCGTCTCCTGGGGTTCCTGCCAAGGAAGCTGTTTGCATTCTTACAAACAACTTACTCTTTTCACAGCTGTCGCCGGTAAATCCTCGTGGACAGCCACACTCTCCCGTTGTGTGATGGCAGGGGACACCCGCAGGACAAGTGCACTGCTGGGCACAGCTCAGGCCATAGTAGCCTGGCAAACAAGCTGGAACGAGGGGAAAAATTCTGGTAAGAAGAGTGGGCAGAGTATGAGGATGATGGTTTGAAAGCTACCACTTGTCAGCTCCTCTGCTGCTCCAGACGAGCACTACCTGCCCAGCAGTGAGGCCATGCAAGCTAGCACAAATCCCAGAAGAGTTCAAGTTAACATATTCTAGTTGACAAAGGGAGGTAAGAGCATGCTGAAAAAGGATTTGGAGGGTGATACTTCTTTAAGCTGCTTTAACTACATAGAATAGCCACACCATTAGAAATGAAAAGCCAGGTTCAGCATGGACTTCAGCTGGTGATGGTCAAGATCCAGCCCTCTATACCATAAGGAGCATTCATACTTTCCAAAACTGAAGCAGTTCAGAGGGAAGAATGAAATATGCTCAAAATGACTCCAGGCTGATTTGCAAAAAGGAGAAAAATCATCAGAATCCTACAGAGTTGATACAACAGTTCTGTGAAGTGCAGAAAACATCAGAGCAGTTATGTAGGAATTAAAGGGTCTTTTCAGGGGATTAGGATCTAACAGAGATAAACACAACAACCAGAACTTTCCTCCTCCAAGCCCTGGCAGATACTCACGTTTGTCACACCGCGTCCCTCGCCACCCCTTTTCGCAGTGACAGGCGCCAGTCTGATGGTCGCAGGACGAGCTGTGCACACAGTCACACCGCTCCTCGCACCGCTTCCCGAAGAAGCCAGCGGGGCAGACTGAGGAACAGAGAACACCAGGTCGTCCTACTGCACATAAAGCATCAGTCACTCACAAACAAGTCAGTATGTTTCTTCTTGGACATAATGATGTACACTTAGAGCACTGTATGCCCAGAAAATATAACTGAAAAAGAATATACTCAAAATATTAAAAGTGCTTAATGTTGACTATTAGTGAATCTTTATACGACGATTTGCAAGTTTGCAAAGACTTAGTAGTGGTCGAGAGCACCAATCTGGATAGTCTCTAAAATGTCACTTACTTTTATACCGTCATGTGAATGGGAAGAGGAATAACTAACTGTTTCAATAGTGAGAATCACTGTGCCTAGGTACCACTTTCCACCTCATACGCCTTTACCAAGCAATAAGAGAAAGTGAAACCTGAAGACATGGGAGCTCCACATTACAAAGAGCCTTCCAGTTCACACTGACCACGGAGGCCGTGCGAGTTCTCGGCACTCACGTGGATGCATCAGAACACTGCCTGTGGCTTGCAGAAGCCACAGTATGTCAGGGACAGAATCAAATGCAGATTTCAAGGCATCTGATAACCATCTGCTTCCAAGATTTCTGTTTAAGGGACTTGCATGGATGTAAACATGGCAGACATCTATTTTAAACCAGCACAGTCTGGATCATAGGTCAGTCACAGAAGTTAGGATGCAGCAAGGACCATTACGGTCTGATTTCCTGAGCTTTCCTCAGTGACACACAGAGAAGCAGTAACACATGGTGGGTACAGTCTGATACAGCAAACTTTCTTTAATATATACTTCCATACATCTGTAAAGTGGACAAATACCTTTGTTTTCTTAGCAGACATGGTTCAGAAGTAGAAAGGGATAAAACGATTTGGACAAGGCATGTATTTGTGACTGAATAGAGATCTGTCTCCAGAGCTCCTGTGAAACATGGTGAACTCTGTCACTTTCTTTATTTAATTTATTACATTTGGTAGGCCAATAAAGATATAAAAAATGTATAAGGAAACTTACTGCATATTCTAGAAGCAGAAATGATTGACTGTTAAAAGGAAGCATCAGAAGAAGGAAATATCCATACCAACATCGCAGCGGTCCCCGGTCCAGCCCGTGTGGCAGATGCACTTCCCTGAAAGCCGGTCGCAGTCTCCATGGTGGCAGCTACAGTTCTGCTCACAGCCCTCTCCGTATTTCCCATCCTCGCACTCTGAAACGAGACCGGGGGGACTGGCACAAGGCAAGACACGAAGGGCTACAGGGGGATCAGACTAATCATAGGATCATAGAATCGTGGAATGCTTAAGGTTGGAAGGAACCTCTGGAGTTCATCTAGTCCAACCCCTGCACACGCAGGGTCACCTAGAGCACGTGGCACAGGACTGCGTCCAAGCGGGTTTTGAGGATCTCCAGAGAAGGAGACTCCACAACCTCTTTGGGCAGCCTGTTCCAGTGCTCTGTCACTTTTACTGTTAAAAAATTTGCCTCTGGACTGCTTCAGATCAGGTCTCACCAGAGCAGAATTTGGTTGTGGAGTGAAGGGCGGCGCTGCAGAACTCACCCCGCTCGCAGGCCATCCCCGTCCAGCCCTGGGGACACAGACACGCGCCGGTCACTGGGTCGCACGTGGCCCGGCGGGGGCACAGGCAGGGCTGCAAGCAGCTGGCGCCGAACCAACCCGGCGGGCAGGCTGCAAACGACAGGCAGCAGCAGGACACTTGAACCAAGAAAGCAGGACAGCACAGGCAAAACACAACCCTCCCCAGCCCAAACCCGCTGCGGTGCCCGGGATTACTGCAGAGCGAAACTGGAGGCAAAGACATTTGAGGAATTACATTAATATAAAACCAATCTGGGGACAACATGTGTAAAAAAGGGCAAGTGACAAAGACAGGTAACTATTTTCCCCGCAGATGAACTCAAATTTTTCTGCTCAAACTGATGATAAACATATTTTGGGTCCTTTCTCTTACCTTCTCACCATTCACTAAGGAATGTAGCTATTGATTTCCCTGTTTTCAGCATTCCCTTGTACAGTGCACTTAAAATCACAATTACTTTTATAATGAACAATTGATCTTGCTATCTGCAGCTGGCTGAGGACATTTTACAGTTTACCTATTTTTAATTTAAGCAAGATGATTAAATCCCATTTCACCTAGTTCCTATAGAGAGATCCTAATTTTTTGGCAGCAAAAACACACTGTGTGCTGAAGTGGTAACTGAGATGTTGGCAGAGCAGGTTCTCCCTCTGCAAAGGGACGGTCACTGGGAGATCGCTCACTCATCCTCACAGATTTGTACCATCTCCTCACTTTCAAAGGTGAAGAAACAGAGAAACGACCAAATGGGTCACTAAAGGAAAAGGGCACACTTCACAAAATCTTCATATTTGATAGTGATTTCTGTATTTTTGTATTTGTTTTGGATTAGAGGCCTTTAAGCAAAAGCAGAAAGTTTTAGATAGCATTGGATGCATCATGAGGAAAGGTTTGGTGCATCTCAGCTCTGTATTCCTTCATGGAAAACCCTCTAATACTGGGTTCTAAGTATTAGATTATACTAGGTTTCCCATCAATTCCTATATTACTCTACCATCATTCTATACCTTTCCTTTGCTTAACTCAACTCTCCTTCTCCCTATTACACTTGGCAGCCGCAGCTGTTTGTTTGGGAACGTTTACTCCAAACCCCAGTGCGTCCAGAGCAGCAAGTGTCCCAGTTCTGCACTCCTTGTCCCAAGGAGAGCCGAAAAACCAAGTAATGCTGAGGAGGGAACGTACAAAAGAGGGGTTTCTAGGACAGGGACGGTCAAACTTTTGCTACTGGCTTGGCAACGGTGGATGAGAACGTGTAACATAAGCCTCAGCACAGCCCTGCTTTGTTGTCCTCCTTCCTGAGCTCCCCCAGGAGCGGGGCTTTGGTTTGGGTCTCGCAGACTGGTACAGATGCCAGAGCTAAAGCTCCCAAAGCCTTTCAGGTGGTCTGGATTTAGCTGCCTGCGCCTGGAGCGGCGGGAGGTAACGGTACGTGTCCGCAGAGCGCGCGGGATGCTAACGCAGGCGGCGGAAAGGAAACGGCTTCATTTCTGTGTCGTAAACGAACGTTTGCTGGACTTTTTCTCCTTAATCAGAGAGACTTCAAAAATCAGCTCTCCTTTCAGTTTATGATCCTGTTTTGGCCTCTTCTGCCTCTTCCCCCCAGTGCTGCAATGCGTGCCCTGATGTTGGGCACTTGCAACAGCCCTGGATTCAAGATGGGTTTTTAATGTGCAGAACTTCATTACTGCGTGGATAGGAGAATAACGACCAAACAGTGCACAGAGCCAATAATTTAAATACCAGTGGAAACCTCTCGAGCTGGGGTTTCATTTTTCCTTCCTATAATCTTCTTCAACGGGGCTGCAATCCCGACTGTACCTTCTTGGCAGGTGGCTCCCCTCCATCCCGCTGCACAAATACACGTCCCAGCTACGGGATCACAGAGCGCTCCGTGGTGACAATTACAAGCGTGACTGCAGCCTTTCCCGTAACTGTCACCCTGGCAGGCTGCACCGAGAGAAGGCCATAAAATGCAATTAGAACACATCAAAGGAGGCATCATACAGAGCAAATTTGAGACATAACCCACTTCTGGGGAAATCAGTTTGAAATTGGCTTCTGATGACACACTTTTCACATCTTAGAGGCACGTAGGATCACACATTAACCATGTCTGACACTAAATAATGTGGCTTAAAAATATGTATCATAATACATTCTGAGCAGATTTTTATCAAAGACTAGGCTCACGGGGGTGATGGATCAGCTGTCATCCTCCTGCACTGCGGAATGTCTTTGTGCTAAACTAATGGTCCAGCAGAACAGCCAGCTTGACAGGCTGGATATTTATTTGCATCCTGGTAAGAGAACTGACAACTTCATTGTTTTCATTGTTCATTTTTCACAGTTGGATGCATTAGCTCACCCACAGCCCTTACTCGTTGGTCAGAGAGGAGTGATATTTTCAACACATTGAGTAAAGCAGCTGGCTCCCAGGTGAAAACTTAGCACAGCCACCCCGCAAACGTACAGTTGCTTCAGTTCCATTCTCAACTGTGCCGTGAAAAACAGTAAGGATGAAATTTTGTCCTGTATTTTCCATTGCACTGGAAATGTGGACCTCCGTAAATGGTGTAAACCAGACTTCTGCTTTCCCTAGTATCCCAGTTCTGCCATTCTGCTTTCCCAGGTATCCATCCCAGAATACAATAGCAGTTGGTGGGGTTTTCTGTGTCTACATTACAGAAGTTCACTAATTCACCTCCATGAAGCTGTCAGAGTTTCTCATCTCTTCTAGATAACCAGCACTGCTTGCTGGTGAGCCAGCGAAGTGTCCTGATCCAGGAAAGCGTCCTGTACTCACTGACTGGAACATCTCCAGGAGCAGAGCCAAATTCCAACTCTTCACAAGAGCCTCCAGGCCTTTGATGGTGTCGCTGCAGAATGCAGTTGTGTGCGGAGAACTCATCTCCGGGGACAGAGCAAGCACTGAAACCATCCAGACCTCACGGGTCATCTGGCTGACAGTGTCTGAGCTATTCCCCGCCTTTTGCTTCCGATCTGAGGACTTCCAATCTGAGCCTCAGGAGCCTGAGGACTCTGCAATTCCCACAGATACTGTTTCTCCTAGAACATCTTTTCAACACTATTCATTTTTTCATCGCTTGGACCCCATCCATGCTAAAACTACAAGAAAGCGCAGGAACTTAGTCACATCGCAGTTACAGTTTGTTCTACAAATGAGGCCTGTTTGCCAAGTGAGAGATTCAGCCCATCTTACAGAGCTTTGGCTCAACTTCAGGAGCAGGAGTAAGTATTTCCACAATAGAGATGAAGACTGTATCATAACCAAGCCAAAGGAAAAACCAGCTCATAACCAGCTCCCCTGACTAGTTACCAGTGGTTGGTATGAGGTTTCTAGAGCATGTGCACAAAGCTGTTCTTATTATCACTGAGAAGACAGAGTTTTGCACTGGAATTTCTGGTAAGAAAGTAGAAATTTCTGGAGAGGGAAAACTAAGCTGTTCTCATTTACTGTATACAAACTTACTTAGTTTCTCTGTGGGACTATCCTGATTATTAAACCTCTACTCTGAAGATTAAGGGATATATTTAACTGGCTTATCAAGTTCCTTAACCGAACACAGTAAAGTGACTTTTCTCCTGTCATGATGAATGTAAAGGAAAGAAGTAGTAGAAGCATTTGAATTATTAGACTTCTTCCTGCTCTAAACTTCTCCTTTCTGAGGAAATGTTCATTTGCGGTCTTCAAAATTCCTTTTATACTCAGAATAAGAAACATGTGAAACTAGAGGCCAAAATATTGAGGCAGGAAGTCAACATCTGTCAAAAGTGTATGGAAGTACAGGGAAAAGACATGGACTAAGACACAAAAGGCTGCCCATGAGATTGCATTTCATGCAACTCCCACTGATAATTCTCTCTCAAAAGAAACTGCTGCTCTAAAAGAACATGAAATCTGCAAAACAGAGCACTCAGATACTACGACATATCAAAACTTTAGTTACCAGTAACCCAAATACAGATGCTTTGAGCACTGATCTATCTGCAGTGATTTGCTTTACAGACCAGTGCGGTTTCTTTCCTGAAAGGAGTTGATTCTGTGAGGATCTTGCTGAGCAGAATTTGGAAAAAATTTAGCTGCTGAATTCAATTTAGCTTTTACGGGCCATATAGACAATGTACACAATGGCCTTTTTTTTTTTTTTTTTGAAACATTGATTCTGGATGACTTTGTATACAGAGAGTCACATCTTTGGTACAGGAAAATGTCAATGGTTGAATCCTCCCTTCTATATAGCTGAGACATTATAACTCTCAACAGAAGTTTATTTTTAATATAGGCAACATACCTTTCCAATATACCTCTTCTTTGGAAACCTAGCCTAGCTGGACAATAATAATAATAATAAAAAATCTCTCCACCACTACCTTAAGCTAAGGCTTAGCAAATTTCATCTCAAGTTATCAAAAGTTATTTTCAAGTAGCCAAAAATACAGCGTTTTAACACAGAGTGTCAGGCAGCTTTCACAAACAGGCACTCCTGCCTGTATCTCCCATAATTAGATAGCATCTTACAGTAGGCGCTTCATGGCCTGCTTAAGATCAGTTCAAAGCCCATGAGGGCAGAATTAGTTTTCAATATCCTGCAGCACATTGCCTGCAATTTGATTACCTGAAAGCAAACTCTGTCCTTCCAGCTGTTGGAGTTAGCAACTTCCAGGAAACAGGAGCACAAACACTAAGCTCTGAGCAGAGACTGGGAGCAGCACGTGAGCATCTCCAAAACCTGCTTGGAGTCACCCGGGAACATCGGGAGCACTTCTGCCGAGGCCTGAGGCTGCAGGAGAAATGGTGCGTGGATCCATATGGTCAGCAGGTACCTCCTTTTCTCTGGAGACCTGTAGTCTTCGGCACCCAAGAGTACTCAGAGCTGACCTGGCTGAGCAGATACACACCCTACCCAGATGCATGGGTATGGTGAGGGACACCATGTAGTTCCCAAGGACATCACTCCAGCTCTGCAAGGGGTTCTAGGCACCCCAAAATGAGCTCACAGGAGCTGCCTGTAACTGTTCACCCTGCAAAGCAACAGGCAGGAAAAACTGACCTTCATTTACATCCGTGAGCAAACCTGCTTCGCTCTCAAAGATGCTTCATCTGAATCAATCTTCTAAGTCCTCTGGGCACTTGGCATCTCATTGAACTTCTGTGAGAGCAGCACGCAGACCCCAGCCATGCTCGAGACCGGTGGGCTGCAGAGCTCCCATCGCTTTGCTGGCCCCCATGACAGGGTCATCTCATTCTTCCTTGTTTACCAGCTCTTGGCAGGGAAGCTGCTTCCTCTGCTGTCAGTTTTGAAGGCTTTTTCATTTGCACCCTGGGACTTCCCTAAGCCAGCAGCTCTTAAGCACAGTATGGTTGAGACTGAATCGATTTCTGTGTAAATTGGGTTCCTTCAAACTTGCTCTTCTCCTCCATTCTCAAGTCCCTCCGCAACACTCCAGTGTCACTTCTAATCAGGCCATTTACAACGGGGCTACTTCCATGGATTTTATTAACTGCTGTAGGACGGGACATTGTCAGCCAGTCAAGGAAGACTCAGGATTTAGCCAAGGGAAGCCTAGGTTATTCTTTTGCACCATTAACTGACCTTGCTCTCCTCCTGAAGCCAAAGGAGGCCTCGAGTGCTTTGGCATCTTAACTAGCGTGAGGAATAAATCAAGCTCAGCATAAAGCCCTAATGGTCACAGTGCAAGGGAATAAATAGTTTCTCTCTTGTGTGAGTAGAGGGGAGCACAGGTGGCCTTTGACAAAGAGCCACATTTCTTCAGTGAGCTTAATGAAGTACATAGGAACAAAGCTTCCCATCCCTAACTCAGCCCAAGGGCCAAGCTGACAGATTGCTAACTTTGGGGTTCGTCCAAAGGACAGCGAAGAAATAGATGGTGACCAAGAAGCAAGCATCACACCTGCTCAGAAACACCTCTTCTTCTTTGAAACATGTAGACACGTCAACGGCTTCATATTTATTTCTCAAAGTTGGCTCAATTGCCTAGACTCACAGGGCAGAATTAGTTATCTTCAGGTGATTGGAGAAGAGCTGGTCAAGAGGTCCTATGGGGGCCACAGGGAGGTGAACGAGTCACCAGCAGTGACTCTCCCAGAGATCAAGAAGGGCAGGAGAAGCCCTCTCCAGAAGAAGACATGCTGTGCAGAGAGGCAAAGGATGTAAGAAGAGATATTGTCAAGAGTAAGTGTGGCAGGGAGGTTGTTTGGCTGACCTGCTCAGACAGGGCTGATTATATCCTAGTGCATGCCTGGAGAACACCACTGCTTCAATAACAGTAGTATTTTCTAAATTAAGCTGTAAGTTTCTACTAAAGCAAAAAACACAGCTGTGGATTAAAGAGATCTTACGAAAGTGTATGCTACCAACAAAAGTTGGCTCTTTGCATGTTCTTGCCACATTTTCAGAATGCAGTCATATTTTCAAGGGGAAATATGGACTGTGGCATCAATCTAAAGGTGAAGCTGAGACAGAGAGGTTAAAAGTTGACTATCGTAAAAAAACAAACCAAAAAAACTCTGTTGCATTTTGCCAATGGGCTTAATGACCTCCACGTATCATGTAGAAAAGGAAAATACATTAATTTTCCATAAAATTTGGTGATAAATTTCTCAGAAGAACAAACTTTATATCTGCATACTTATGAAGCCAATTATTTTACAAATAACTTGTCTAAAAATTGGTTATAAAACTATTTTCTTCCACTAAAATAATTATATAGTCCCAGCTCTGATTTTACCACATTGTCCATTTGCCATCTGTCACTTTATGCTTGGTAATTAGATGAGGTAAACCAGAAATACAGATATGCCCTTTCATCTCTTAATGTTTTGCAAAACTGAAATCCACAAAATAGCAGCCAAAATTCACAAATAGCTCTAGTATGTAAAAATTAGTACTTAGAACATTTAACAAGAGCCAAAAGAAGTTAAAAAAAATGGTTATTTATACAGCAGCTACGAACTGTTTCAATATTTGGCATCTTTGGAAAGGAATGTGACCTATCCAAAACTGCACTGTCATAGGTTACCTGACGTTCCTAAAAAGAAGGAATATTAGTGTGTTGAAGGCTTTGCAAGCAAGGAGCAGGCTGGGGTTTGTACGTACGCTGGTCGCACTTCTCTCCCCCCCAGCCGGGGAGGCAGTGGCAGGTTCCTAGGACGTGGTCACAGCTTGCTGCGTTCTGGCAGTTGCACACCTGGTGGCAGTCAAGTCCAAAAAATCCATCTGGACAAGCTGGAAATGGAAAACAACACTTCTTTTTTTAAATTGCGGTTCCTGTTTCTTCTTTGTACACACCTTAGCTCAAGATCTGCAAACACCGTATGCTGATAACCCGTGAACTTTATCACATCCTCACTGTGCAATTATACCCTTGAGCCATGGTTGCTTTAAGGGTTAAATCCCACAATCTTATGCTCAGAAAAAAACGCGACCAATTCTATACAAGCAACAGATTCCTGCATAGAAAAACACAGCTGAAAAACATACTCAAAAGCCACAGAACGGAAGAGAGATGAATCTGAATTCATGCAGGTCAGCACTCAGGCCCCGACAAACGAGAAAGTAAAAGAAATGATTGAATGTAAGTCCATCGGGTCACCTCTGCCTGTCTTTTGAAATGCAAAATCTGTGCTCCCATTCAGTCTCCTAGCACCTTTCTAAAGGTTTTCTAGCAGTAAACATAGGAAAATACGGTCACAGTTCAGTGCCGAAATGAAAACCTTGCGAAGAGAAAGAATGGAACAAACAAAGGTAAAATAACCATTGCCAAACTTCTTCAGGGAGCTTAAGGAACTCACTTCCCACTGCTAGGATGGGTAAGCAAAAGCAGGTTCTGCATTCAATACACATCTTTACTGGGCTGGTGTAGAGAAAATAAGCATCAGTGGCTGTCAGGGTCCACATCACATCCAAAAGGCTGTATTACAGGGATGCTAAAGTTCCGATGCAGAGTCCAGAGCTCTCTGGAAATGCCAGAATTAAACTGTCTATATAAATTACCCTCTCTGAACATATATAGATGTATATTTGTAGATTACATAAATATATATATAACTAGATTATATTGAGTAACAATAAATCTGTAGATACACAATTGCATGTCATTCTTTCCCCAGAGTGCCTGAATCACTTAATCCCAGGAGTGATGGTGCTCATGAAAGGAGCTGCTATTCAATAAAACTTTGTGCTTTGTCCTCATTATTCAATATAAGTCTATATTTTAAGCTCATTTCTCAAACTTCTACTGCCTGCTGGTTTCCCAGCAGGGTTTGATAGGATATTTATCACCATATATAATCCAAAGACACCATACACTAATTTCACAGCTTTTTACCAGATCAGAGCAGTACTCTTATCCATATATGCATTGCATTTTTTCAGACTTTTTTCTCCCATTTTTTTGCACTCTTTTCGCACACAGGCTTCTTCTCCCAGCCTGTTCTCACTGTCACTTCTGCAAATGTAAACTTTGTCCCCTAACAGGACGTACTTCCATCTGCTTTGTCTATAAGAGAAGAAAAAGAGTCTGTATCTTTAGATATAGGCAAACCTGGACCTTCAAACAGTGAGGATAGCAATATAACACTGAGCAACGTCCTTTAGTCCTGCTTAGCCTGATTACACATCCTTGTTGCATTTATTCTCAGTCAAAAGGTGGGTCTCTCCTTCATCCTTCCCAGCTGCAGCTTCTCCTCTGGCATAGGAGGAATATCCGAGTTACACAGCTCTCCATGTATGTGCTGTCCCAGAAAAATGGAAAAGTAGCTCATAACAATACACAAATATAAAGCATTAGTCAGCTCCTATCTGGTTCTTATGGGCGACAGAGCTGTTAATTAAGCTGTAAGGAAGACCCGACTGCACGTGGTTTCAATCTTTATATTCTTATTTATTATGCTTGGGTAGTGTGTATGGCACAGCATACAAGTAAGGACTTTCGGACTGAACCCCGGGATGAAAGGATGATAAAGTTTTTCCTTGTTTAATACAGAGACTATAAAGCCTTGCTGGTTATTTTTAGACATATACAGTATTATTTTCTCCTTTATCTTATTTATATCATCTTATTGGGCTATTTTACACTATTGACAAACTGCAGAACTCTCAAGAGAGAAGCACAGTTAACCTATCCCTACAGCAATGATTTAGTCAGCAGTTCAAATCTGAACTTTTGGTGCTGTACTTAAGAGGGACTGTAAATTGATGCAAGACAACAGTGAATAAAAACACTGTAGGAAAAATCTGAGACTTCTGCCCCGCTTTGAGGCTGAGGAATAAGCTGTGGAGCATTTTGAGTTATTTGGCCAGATCAAGCAAGGGCCTGGATAATTCTGCTGCTGCTTTGATACTTGACACTTGCCTTCAGTCATACAACACCAGCGAGTAGGGGGGAACAAAACTAAACAAAATTACAGTACAGTAAAGGCAATCACAGCCTTCAAAGTGGGCGCTGCGGATACTCAGCCCTGCACAGAATGAAATCAATTATAACAATTACTTTTGCAAACAAGAACAAAGCAACCTGGGTGCAGAGCAGGGCGACCTGTCTAACTTGATATAACATGGCACATTTGTAACATAACTGATAGCACCAACAGCCTATGTGGTCAGAGTTTGATGCCTTTTGATTTTGCTGGGTTGACATCAGGAGGCCATGGAGGCCTAGGTTTGCTGCATGTCAGATGTTTGCATTTATTTAAAGCAAGCATTGATATATTTAGCAATTTACTGCAAGAAGGGATTGATTTTTTTTCACTTGACTGTTTAGCTGCAAGTGCATTAAAACCAAAGTCCTATAGCAAGCGGTGACTGTAGTAGGCATCTTTTCTGGGGAAAATACTACTCACATCATCTACATCACAGGATAGAGAAAGGACTTATATAACCATCTTTTGCTAAATGCAAATGTGTTAACTGTTACTTTAATTCAGAAACAGCTAGAACTTCACGTGTCCACGAGATACGTCCTCTTTTGGCATATATATTATCCCTTGAGGTAAGAAAAATTGCTGGTAGCATTGCTCTAGGAAAACTGAAAATGCTTCGTAGTCTAGTGGTAATATTGCATCTTGTGCAGAACTGCAAATTATTTTCCAGTGTTCTCTTTGTATCACTTGCCAGTTTCACAAAAGCACCAAAAAAGTCTTTTCCACATGACTCATATGGCATGCAAGTAGTGCTTGGTAGCTTTTTTGGTCTTCATTTAAACCCTAGCTACTTTGCAATGGAAACTGTTCTGCTCCTTTGATAGCTCTTTTGAGTACGAAATCAAACAAAACCCAGGAGGCTTTTGCAATTTCAGCCTAAATTTGGCTACTCTGTTATCACAATGCAGAATACCTGAAATAACAACTGCACTCTGTAAATGCTGGTTGTGCAGGTGTATATTTCAATATTATGTTTTGCAAGGTCCCATCTTCTCCCAGGACTTCAAACTAAGAAGACTATGAATGTTTCTGTTTCAGTGTTTCCGTGATGGTGGCAAAATCTTCCTCAGCCTCAGGATGAGGCATCAACATTAAGGTAGGTGTCTCAGACAACTCAGCCAGCTCTAGGTCTACATTTCTCTGGAGCACGTGAGCAGGATGATGGTTCCAAGGCTCAGAACTTGCCTAATGCGGGCAGACTGTCAGGAGGACAGCAAAAAACCACATACCTGCCAGAAGGAAACCCTGCCAATTTCCAAGGCACTAAAAACAGAAGTGCTACAGCTCTTTGGAGGAAAGGTTGCCAGGAAGTTCCACCAAAGGCAAACAACTCGCACATTTTCGTCTATTTTTTGAAACAGCCAAATTTTTCTGGCTGAAACTTGCTACATGAAAAGGTAAAAAAGGTCAGTGCAGAGGAAAACACTCAGCACGTCTGAGACGAAATACGTAGGAAACAGGATCTTACAACAAGTGTAAGCAAACATAACATTAAGCACTGAAGTCTACTTGCTGCCAGTGCAATCCTCCAGCAATTTAAAAAAGCAGTTTAAAAGGATAAATATGTTCAACTGATTTGGAAACGGAGATTTTTTTTTTTCCAATAGACATCGTGCAGGCTTCCCAGCACTCATTCCTGCTTTCATAATGGATATTTAGCCTCTGTGTCCTTTTGATTCGAGCTGAAAGGAACTGATTTTCAGGACAATGCAGATAACTGTGTTGTCTTCCAGTATAGTCACAGACTCATTTGAATTCAGCAGGGAATACTGAATTAACCAATGTCTTTCGTATATAAGAAGCCAGTAAATCTCTCTCAAATTGAATGACTTCATTTCCTATAGAATGGACTGACTGAAACCAGTCATTTTCACTTGCCAACTCCCAACATCGTAACTATTACAGAATAGCAAACAAGCTTGACATGCATCAAGATAAATTCAAGAATGTGTTTAACAAAGGGTCTTTGTTTTCCTCTTTCTTCCAAAAACTTTGGAATATTTTGAGGTATTTTTTACAAATTTTCTAGGAAGAACAACTGCATTATCTCACACTGTGTAACACATCTTGCAAGTCCTAGAGCACGCAAGAAAGGAGAGATGGTCCAAAGTCAACAAGCTGAAATTCAACCGAGAGCAAAGCGTTAGAGGTAGAGCACATTCGGGGGCGGTTGGTTGGAGCAATCCCGGAGGGGAAAGCTTAGGGCACACGACAGGAACTGGATTCCAAGGTGTGAAAGCAGCCGCCACGTGCAGGATGCTGGGGTGTGCAGTGCAAGCACAGCTGGAACAGGATAAAGCAAACACACAGACACAACAGGCGTCAACACGATGCTGCAGCTCTAAGCTGCCACAGAAAAGGCAAACCCAATCCGGAAAGTGTTAGCAGGACTATCACACGAGTGCACAATGTGGTTATTAGGCTTTACTTTGCACTGATGACATCTTAACTATTCTGAGCAGTGCAGAAATACACAAGAAAGTTCAGAAAATACAATCTACCTGAAACATTTTAAAGGTTTTGTTGGCTCAGCTAATAAAAAGACTGAAGATAGACATGGGAAGTCTTCCAACACAAAAAGATTGCTAGAAATGAACCTCCCTTTGCTTTGTTCGGAAAAGGGATAAGAACAAAATGAAAACTGCACTACTTTCAGACAAGTATTTTCTAAATATTCAAGAGAGAAAACACTCAAAGACTGCAATGTTTTGAGATGAGGCTGGACTGCAAAGAAAGTAAAGAAAGATCTTGGCCAGGGAGCAACCCAAGGGCTGTTCATGGTTCCAGAGCTCCCTGGGCGCCTGGTGAAAGGTAACACAACCTGCCTGGACGGCTGCTCAGCCCCTCGCTGGCTAGTGAAACCCTCCTGGGGCCACCTGGCACACTGACTGTATAGCCTATAGTTATGCTGGAAGGTGTGTTAGCATCAGCTTATCAGGAATGTCTCTGTTTCCAAGTCAAAAGAGCAGAAAGAATTATAAAAATAGAATTAAAGTTATTTAAAATTAAAGCACGTTACTTTAGAAAGGCAGACGGTGTAGATAGCATTGGTTGTCTCATTGCATCATACAGTTTCAAGCAGAACTTTGAAACGAATATTTATTTCATATAATAATTCCTGGAGAGACTGAAAGGGAAACAAGAAGCACTTCCCCGAATTGCAGTCGGGTGTTTGGCAACACCTCTGCACAGGCAGAGAAGGCCCTTCCTTTCCATGAGAGGGCAGTACGTGCACACATTTCCCTCCTGCAGCTCCAACACTAGTTTTCCGCTAGCTGATAATGAGCTTCCTCAACAAAATAATTGTGCTGCTGATTTCCTCATCATCATTTACAAACCTATCATTTCCAATTAAATAATTTTGAAAATGTTTGAATATTTCTGTTTCTGCTGTATTCATAATATACTTTATACATCCGTGCAAAGTTATGGCATGCAGCAACATCCTTAGAATATGCTACAGGAAAACACATAATAACGTTTCTAAGAAATCCAATCCAGCTTTCCCATCACTTTTCCAAATTATGAGGCAATAGAAGATGAGCTGTTGGATTTATTAAATTTAAAAGGAAGACCCTCTTCCTAAGGAGGACACAGAGATTTGTGTTATTCTACGTACGAGTAAGTCTGAGGCAGGACAAATAGTGTTCAACAATAAAACTGTAAGACTCTCTTTATGAGGAGAGCCTTCAGAAAGACACGATACAGCAGGGGTCTTAAGCACGTGTTTGATTTTAAGCAAGTGATAATTCTTGCACACTAATCGGACTCGTAGCACAAAGTTAGGCGCACACTTAAATGCTTTGCTGAGCTGAGGTTTAAGTGCACGTTTTCGTATCGTGTTCCAACTAAGTTTAATGGTTTATGTGAATCAGGCCCTGCAAATTGTAAAATCAGATCTTCAAGTGAGCCCAAAAACCCCCCATCTGCATAAAAATGAGAGGGAGCAGAATGAGAACCAGCACCTTTTCCACAGAGCGTTCCTGTCCAGCCGGCCGCGCACGCGCAGGCCCCGCTCACGTGGTCGCACGCGGCCCCGTTCTGGCACTCGCAGTCCCGCTCGCAGCCTGGGCCAAAGGTTCCCTCGGGGCAGCCTGCGGGGAAGGAATCAAAACCAGATGATGGGTTAATTCGGGAACAGGGAGCGATCGACTGGGAATTCTTAGATACATGGGAACTCTTACTGTTTGCAAAACAAAGATCAAGGCTTAACTGCAATACCTAAAACTGATATGATGAAGTATTCTCCTTGAGGTCCACATAAGTTAATAGACATTTATTAAGGTCTATTTTAGAAAAAAACATCAGGCTGTTGTGAAAGGCAGTACATTCTGCGCAGGCAAGTAAAACAGCATCCAATAGTCACCAAGCTTTGCAACTGCAGTATTCCTGCTTGGTGGCTCTCCACATGCTGGTCTGGGATTGCTTGTTTACATATATCTTCACCAGCCAGGGGGAGTAAAATTCCCAGCTTCTGTGCTTGTTTTAGGGGCCCTAACCTATGGTTCCTGCAATCCTGACTCCCAGGAGGTGAGAGAATGAAATGTGGTGACCTCCTTTGGAAAGCTCCAGCCTGAAGGCTGCATACTTCATTTGCAGGTTCTGCTTGAAAAAAATCGAGCTAAAACATTACATCTGGGGGACAGATTGAAAAGCTACATTTCCACAGCAGTTCTGCTAGGAGTGTTAAAGGATTTGCATGGTGCTCACTATCCGAAAAAAGAAAACAACGCTGGAGCATGCAAAGTGATCTCTCAGGCAATCTGGAAAGCATTACTGAGAGCAGAAAACAAGGAGGATGCTCAAAGATGAGGCCATGTCTGGAAGGAAGTGGTGTGGATGAGCCTGCCTGTTGAGCACCCCTGCTGGCACCGGGAGCAGCTGGGGTGAAATTCAGTCACTTTGGCACGTTAGTGACTCTACTAATGGGACCCTCCCCTGGGCCTTTCTCAGCTGGGCTGAGAAAGAACCTTAAGTCTTCCCTTGCTTTCAATCATTGCCAGTGTCAGAAAACAGGCCTCTCTAACCACAGGTGTTCTTGCATTTGGAGGTCGAATTCAGTCCCAGAGCTGAAACAGTGCAAAATTCCATGTGCATCCCCTCATACTCCCAGAGCTGCATACCACCGTGCACACCTTCAACACTGCCCTAACGAGCAAACAGGCAGAAGTGCATTCGGCTCTTAAAAGCTTCATCCTCCTTGGTGTTCCTTTTTCATTTCAAGTTTTAGACAAGGTCTAGGGAGAGCTACGCACGGAAAACAGTTTCCCAGCACTATACTAGGTGTTAGCTCCCAGTTGGGCTTTCTGCAAACCGAAAACATTTAGCCTGGAGGTGAGACCTTCAAGGTGATGGCAATGGGTCAGGATATTTCACAGATGATTTTGCAGTCCCCGTCACAGAGAACCTGCCCTCTGCTCCAGCAGGCACACTCTGCTGCAATGTGTGCCAAGAAACATTCAAAGCTTGCAGAGAAGCTGAGATGATTTGCAAAGCTGCAAGGAGAACGAGCCTAACCTCAAGCAAGAGTCTAAATAAACTTCAAGAATGCAGGAACTGTAGGATTGTAATAAAGATCTTGCCTCTGAGGCAGCGTAAAATGTTTAGGGAAAACCTGTGGCTTTCATAAGCTTGCACCTTAAAACAGGCCTACATTTACGATCGAGGCTTCATACATATATAAAATAAATAATTACGTAATTCCAAAAGGGGGAAAAGTGGACCAAAACTTCCCATAATCTACAGACAAAACATCAGGGGTTGCCAAATGTTTTGCTGGCGGCGATGACTTCTTTGATCATTCTGCCCATGGTACAGAAGTGAAGAGCAGCTCCCAGGTACCTTCTGTCTGCGGAGATGCCGTTTGGAGAGAGGTAAAGGAAAGGGAAGCGGGGTGGGAATGTTTCTCTTGGAGCTGCTCTTCCCACCAGCTGCCCTTCCTGGCCCTCTAGGCTGACAGCAGCAGGAGCTGTAAGCTCAGCTTCCTGGGGCTTTTGTCCCGGGTCATCACGCCAGATTAATTATTCTGGCATTTCTGTGTGACACCAGCATTAATTCTGCCTGCGCTACTGGGATTCTTTTGGCTGGGTCTGTGCTACTGACAGATTGTTAAACTGATAGGTAGAGATTTAATTTAATAGTAATAGTAATAATAATATAATGAAATGGTTTAGTTATGTTATTCCCTGCCATGGGATGCTTTGGATACCTAAAGTTTGCATGGGATCAAAAAGTAATTAGGCATGTTAAGGTAAGAAAAATATTAAGGTGTGATAAACTGAGAGATGCAATTTCTGTCTTAAGAAGCCCTCGAGACAGAAATTGCTGAAGCTGGGGAAAACACACCAGGAATGATCTACGTGCCTGTTTTTATCCTCTTATGCCACCTGTTATTGCCCAGTTAGGGACAGGGGAGTGGAGGACATGGGCCTTTGGTAAGACCGTTGTCCATTTTTGTTATTAATAAACACAGGTCACTGCATCTTTCTGACTTGGCTTCTGTCATGCGTATGTGACAGGCACTTAAAGATTTATGAAAAAAGCGCATGCCTAAAATTGGATAAATAACTGATACGGAAAATTTTATGCTACAAGCCAGACATCTATCAACCCTATCACTCACCTGAAGCCTTAACATTCAAAATAACTGTTTAGCTCAAAACAAGTCTGAAAATAACTCTTCTGGAATCCAAATTAGTTAAACTATCTAATCCTGAAGAAACTGGAGATTCCTGGGACATGGCAGGAGGCAAGACAGCCCACACGTCTTCCTGAAGGCAAAGAGAAGGAAAAATAATTTCCGTTCCTCGCAAATTCCCGACATTGATCAAGCCACAACTTACGCCATTCACAGTGTTTCCCAGTGTATCCCGGCTCACAGGAACAGGATCCAGTGACTGGATCGCAGCTCCCATCGCTATTATTGCAGACACATGGATTTTCACAGTCTTGTCCCCAGTGGCCACTATCACAAGCTGCAATGCAAAGCAAGGTTTACACTGAAAATGAACACTGGCTTGGCTAACAGGTAATTTTACATTTAAATGAAAGAACAGAAAAAGTGCAAAATGGCCACGTAAAATGCAAGCACAGCAGACATAGCACAAATCAACTGAAATCAACACAATTTTTGCTGATTTATGGCAGATATTAACGGAGCGATGTAAAACTAATCATTCACAGCCAGGCGGCATCAGTCAATCCACAGTCACAAACCTTAATGGGGTGAAAATACCAAATATTGACTCATTATTCACTTAGTAAAAACCTGTATAACAAAAATAGCTAATGCGTACAATAAGACATCTAAATGGAGTAAAGTGACAATAATTAGCTATTGGTACAAATTATGACTGGAGAAGGCAGCTGCTTCATCTCCTGAAGTACTGGACTCTCCCTTGGACTGGATGCACCTCTCCAAAAAATGGTTTGGACAAGTACAGGGCAATGGCCGAGCTCATCACTGTTAAGACAGAAATTTGGAATTTAAATAATCTGCTGGTCTGCCTTCTGAAGCACTCGCTCTCTCCTTTTATTTCAAGGCCAGATGTGCAGCCTCTCTGAAAACGTAACCTCTTTTGGGTGGGCAAGCAAGGCTTAAGGGCCTCATGTTAAGATACTTGCAGGCTTATTTTTGTGCACAGTTGTAATTTTATTTTGGTAGAAACATTTCATTCTGAGGGAAAAGAGGGGAAAAATGAACCTTTTCCCCCGTCTGAAGAAATGTGCACTTTGTCTCTCCATCCTTAAAAGAGCGCCTGAGTGCTTCTGAAATTAAACAATTTCAAAAGAAATGAAGTCATGTGTTTAAGAATTTAAAGGAAATGGGAAGAAAGTGCAGTGATCCTTGAACACTTTTGAGAACTTTCACAAAAAGCAACACAATAACACAAAAATATTTTCAAAATACTGATAAATACGGACCCTGACAGAGAAATCTCACAATCTTTTGTTTAAAAAAAAAAAAAAGAAAAAAGAAAAAAAGAAAGTAAAATCCTAATGCCTTCATTCCAAAAATCATAAAATACTTAAACAGGATTATGGCAATCCACCACAACTGAAGCACAGTATCTCCTTCCTTTCTTGTCGAGATGAAAGTGGCAATTACAACACCAGGAAAGTCAGAGTCAGGCCCTGGTTTCATGCCCAGTTTGCAATAGTTGAAGCACTGCCTTACTCAGATGTCTGGTCTCATGAAGAGGGGAGAGGCCTGGAAATTTTTTTTTATCTTTTCTCCTGAATAGAAATATATATATTTTTTTTGTCATGATCTCAGTAGACAATGGATTACACAATGGACAATAAGACATTTATGGAAAGTTATCTAAATGCCTGCAAGTATTACTAATTTTAAATGCACTTTGGTGAAACCTTTGGATACTCGAGAGTTTTCCTCAACACCAAGCCTGGGAAGCTGGTCCCAAACTTACTTCTGTCAACACTTGCAATTAATTTGTATCTTTTTATGCTCACAAAACCAAGTTTAGAAGGATGTTTGTATTCTCTTGGCTTTCAGCAATGGAGACCATAACAAAACAAGCAGAAAAATAAATGTAATGGAGAAAAAGATTCAAACAGGATGTTTTAATGTGTATAGGCTATTACTCAAAAAGGGCAAACCTGTATTCTTACACTGCAGTCCATATGGAGAACTATACCAAGGTCAACACGAGGATGCTCTGCTTTTACACAGAACAGTATTTCTCCCAGCGTTTATATTCACAGGTTAGGGAGCGACCTTAAGACACAGGACCTTACAGACCACTTGCTGAATAAATCTCTCCTAAACAAACTGAAAAATTTAAAATTAATCCCAGAACTAATCTGTGCAGACAATGAAAAAGCAAAACTGACTGTCAGTTAAGATGGGCAAAGGGATCCACAGTGTTGAAACAAGTGCTTGTACCAATATTTTGCATTTCATCAGCCATCCATTTCAATATCTCGAACCCAGATAATTAAGGATTATACCCACACAAGACGTGTGAACCCAAAAAACACACCATTTCAGAAACAGTAGAATTAGCAACAGTATGTTAGAGAACAGACCACGAGGAAGCAGATATGGTAGAATTAGCAACAGTATGTTAGAGAACTCTAACAGACCACGAGGAAGCAGATATGATTCCATACATTTTTTAGTTCTGATCCTACAAGAGGCCACATGCCAGGTATAAGGAATATTCGTAGGACTTACGGTGTTTGCAGTCGTGGCCTGTCCAGCCAGGGGGACATGTGCATTCTCCGGTGACATGGTGACACTGAGCACTGCTGCTACAGCTGCATAACAGCTGGCAATTTTGTCCATAGTAACCAGGAGGGCAGGCTGAAAGCAGAGGAAAAGACTGTAATTTCACCTAGATAGTCAAGCACACACTGATCTTTTCACATGAGACAGCAACAGCTTGCCCCCACCCAAAACATGCATTAGCAAAATCTGGAAATCTGAAAGGTAAAGAAACATCTGCAATTTGTACCCTAAGAGCTTATGGACACATCCGGCAAAGTGGAAATAGCTTGGGAGACACCAGGGTACTTCTGCTGAGTGTCAGGATCAATCAGGAGAGGAAAAACGCTTAGCACAGGCAAGGGGGCTAGAGGTGGACACCCTGAAACCTCCATGGAAGCACGGAGCCGTGTCGTGCCAAGTGAGCAGAACCCACAAGCCACTGCTGATGTCTGCGTGGAGGAGCGCTCTCCTGAGGGTCTGCCTGTGTCACAAGCACCACGGCCAACCCCACCTCCCTGCAGATACTTGTAGGTTGCTTGAGTATATTCTTAACATCTCTGGTGGGTCCTTCCTGGACAGCTCTGCTTCTGCTCCTGTGCTCTCACTACTCTGATGCCCCAAGTTAAACAGATCAAGAAGTGTTGCTGAAATAATCCTAGAGTAATTGCACAGGAATCAGTTGTTGACAATCCTTATCAAGCAATTGGAATTACCATGCAAGCATGATGCTATTATATACTGTATGAGTAAATATAGCCACAGATGAGGTCTTGCGATAATAATATTATATATTGTGGGAGGCATTTTGGTTTGTCATCTGCACTGGTCTGTAATCTCCCCTGCTATGGCAAATACTGTCCAGTCCAATCTGGGGAATTCTTGAAGCTTATGAGTGCTTAAGCTATCTTCAAGCAGTGTGTCTAACAAAAAAATACCTTGCAAAAAAAAAAGAAGGTAAAAATCAAACCATAACCTGAATTTTCAAACTTTTTTTTTTTTTTTTAATGAGATGCCAACATGATGACTTACGAGATGAGCAGGATTCTCCAGTGTAACCAGGGGGGCAGTCACAGGCTCCAGTTTCCTTGTTACACTGTCCTCCATTGGCACAGGGCTCACAGGGAGAGTGACAGCCTAATCCCCACCAACCATCAGGGCAATCTATTAAAAAAAGCACAAGAGATGCCCACGATAACATTTTCTACTTCAAGACAATTACAGATTTATGCTGTTACTTAAAGGAATTTAAAAATAATAGTAAAACTAAGCTAGAAAGAGGAGCCTTATATTATCTCTATACATCTATAGGGCCTTCATAATAAACCTTCCGAAATAACCAAGATGATTTCATATTGCAGCACTCCAGAACACATTTAAAGATAGACACAAAGGCTCCCTTCCAACTTCCATCGCTCTGTGTCTGTTTTTCTGTTCGGTTTCTGATGCAGTAACATCGGAAGCATTTAGACATATCTGATAAATGAATTACTGCACTCAGCAGAGGACAAGCGGGACAGTAGCCTGATGAGAGATGCAGGAGAGCAGGAGTGTGCCTTTGTAGGCAGAGGACAAGCGGGACAGTAGCCTGAGGAGAGTAGGACTGTGCCTTTGTACTTTTGCTTGGCTGAAGAGGAGAAAGGATAGTCCTATTTTAAAGGACTGCATTTCTAGGTAAGCTGGTGTCAGAAATGTATGTGTCTCTTATAGGTCTGTAATTTGCTTTGGCCAGTTTCTAAGTTCCCATTCTCTCTGTCCACATGCAAGTAAGTTTCATCCCACAGAATTTGGAGAAACAAAGGAAACACAGCAGGAACATCACAGAACTATATGCAATGGAAGTTGGAAGCATCCCATCAGAAAATGAGAAAAAGTGATTAGAACAAAATAATTCATATGGAATATCGCTTCATTTTCCTATAGTGCTTTCCTGTGATCCTAACATACCTGTCACATAAGAATGTCTCAGTTTTCCCCCACGGCAAAAGCAGAAGGATTGGACTCCATTTTCCTTTTCCCAGTCCATGACAGTGCCCTTCGGCAGCTCCTGAAGCACCATGTGGGCATCTCCAAAGCAAGCAGGCTCCCTCCCTAGCCGAAGGGCAAACTCACCTTGGTCACACGTAGCACCAGTTTTCCCAGCTGGGCAAATACATTGCCCAGTCTTTGAATCGCACGATGCTTCTCCACAGCGGCAGCTCTGCCTGCAGTTGACACCAAACCTCCCAGGCTGACAAGCTGTTCACAAGAAATACAAAGGTTTGGTCAGTATAAAATGTTAAATATTAGGAGGCACCACCAACAGCACTTTGGAATTGGGCCGTGTTGGTACAGAGTGAACTGTGTTAGCATTGGCGTCCTGTGGTTTGTAATTAACTGCAACACAGGGCTAGAAAGCTTCTGCCTGAAGCTTGACAAAGAAATATGGTTATCTAGCTAAATAAACAGTGCTAGTAAAGTGCCTTAATCTTTCACCTTAGTCTTTGGGGGGAATGTAAAATCATACAGCACTTTCCAGTCTCAACAACAGACCTTACTGCTGGTTTGTAACCCGGCCTCCCTTCAACAGCTATAATGAACAGCAATGTGTCTCCTACCAAATCCAGCTGTCTCATGTGTCTTCCAGATGAATTCAATAGCCCTGTGCCTACATACACATTGTCCATCGTGCATCAGGGGTGACAGGCAGTGCTGCCAAATATCACTTCAGCCTCAGTGGGGAACTGTCTACTTGCATCAAAGCAAACGCAGCCTCTCTCTTGCCTGCAGCCCCTGCATCAGGGATGCTGTGAACAGCTTTCCCAGCCAGCATGAACCTCCCAGGGAAATATGCATCGAGTACCTACGTAAAAGGCATTTTTCTCCATGAAAACCAGGTGGGCACTGGTGCTGGCAGACTCCTGTCTCGTGATCGCAGGGAACGTCAGGAGGACAACTGCATTGCAGTTTGCAGCCAGCTCCATAAGAGCCAGGCATGCACTCTGAAAAAAATGCAATGAATACACAACATATGCAAGGAAGACGAGGAGTTGAGAAAACTGAACAAAAGTCATAAAATAAGTGGGCAGAAATTTAGAGAAAACCCATTAAAATGTATATCTTAGGGGTATTAATAATTTAAGTTTAAATATGCAACATGTGCATGGACACTCCAAAGAGGTTACTGCCCGGGTATAATCCAGAAACAAAGCTGCAGAAAGTTTAAGGCTATTTTCAAGTGAGGAGCAGTTACAGAATTCATTATCTTCTCATCTGTTCACTTTTTGCTGCCGTCTGTCTTTAGGCAAAGTTGAGTGCTGGGAAAGGGCCCTTTTCCCCCAGAATTTAGTATAGCAGCAAGAATGCTAAAGGCATCCACCAGATCCCCAAAACTAGTGCTATAAACCTGGCACATCACTGTGTGCCTGGAGAGCAGGGAGTGGATGGGGCGGGAGGTCTCTCCTGCCCTGCTCCCTCACTGTCTGCAGAGGGCTGCTGAGCCACGTCAGCACGAACGCGGCCGGAATTCTCTTTGAACTACCCTCAAAAGCTACGGAGAACAGGAAAAATTCAAAGACCTGCACATCTGAAAGGAAAGCAGCATTACTGAAATCATTACCGGTATTTTTTGCTGACACAAAACAGTTTTGCCACTAATTTACTATGTAAAAATGAAATAATTAGAGTGAAAATTCTCAGTATCTTCAGTTGTGTAAGAATTTGGTTTCTTGAATTCTACTGTCATTGAGGCTGAACCTATTATATCCTTAAACTGTGTTCTTACAGATGTCCCCGTGATATCAGCGCTGTGTGACATCAGGCACTCACAGAACTTGCTACACGCAAAGCTGCAGACAAAATAATTAGCAAAGAGCATTAGTAGTAGCAGCAGCAGCAGCAAGCACAAGGGAGGAAGACTGAGAAACAGCGATACAGGACAAAAGAATAAACAGACAAAAGAGAATCTGGCTTTCTATTATACCTTTCTGACACTTTTTGCCTTGATAACCAGGTTTACAGGTGCAAGCACCGTTCCTTGTGTTGCATTCCAGGGTGTTCGCTCTCACGCACTGACATTCCTCTGAACAGCCAGCTCCATAGGCCCACCTGGGACACGCTGCAGCCACATTAAAAGGAATCATTAGCTCTGTAATTATGCATGAGTTATTTAAAATTGCACACTTCGGCAGAATGCAACTGCTGCAAAGCAAAAAAGTTCATTGTGCTCCTCAGCAAATCCCTCCACATTCACATGGCGGTGCCTATTAATGTGTGGGTGTGTAAAATACAGTTTACATGACTCCTACAGAAGGCAATTAATTTGATTTCAAGCAATTTGTAGCGAAAGCAAAAACCAGATATGTTTCAAAGCAAAGTTAGTTGAAGTTTCTGAATGAAAAATATTTGCGTTCACCCCAAGAAAAGCTTTCATGAAAAGAACCCACACAATTATTTTCTAAGTCTTGTATAAATTTTCCAAACAAAACCTCTAAGTGCATAGAAATTTAACCATCTATTTTGTAACATTTTTGTCCTTTGATTCCTTTTATTCTAATTTTATATTTTGTCATTACTCATGGGTGCATCAGCACTGTTGGTGTTTGTGAGCAGCAGCATATGAAAACACCCCTGCTTCAGAACGAAGACTCGGATGTCTCCGTTAGGAAGTCCATGCAGAGGGAAAAGCTGCTTTAGAGGGAATTTCAGGGAAAATGCCTATGGCTTCTGGCTGCCTTTGACTTACTCAGATGGCAGAAGCGCCCGTAGCGGCCGGGCTCGCACAGGCAGGCTCCGTAGAGGCGGTGGCAGTGGCCGCCGCTGGCGCAGTGACACGGCTTCCTGCAGCTCTTCCCGAAGAAGCCCTTGGGGCAGCCTGGGGAGGGCAGAAAGGTGACACTGCATCAGTGGTTGAGCACTAAAACACAGACACCCCTTCAGGGCACGGGGCTCTGCTGAAGGATGGGCTTGGGCTCCGCTGCTGCCTCTGTGTCCCATGTTTACACTTTTTCTCCCACTTTTCTTGCCTATTACTTAAAGAAAAAGCACAGCAAGGCGCCCCTCGGTCTTCCACTAGGTCTTGCAGATTGGGGGCTATTTTTACTTGGGCCCAGGGGATGCCCTTGCACATTTGCACCTGCAGAAGGGGGAGCTCGTAGGAACCTCCTACCTTCCTCGCAGAGCTTCCCGCGGATGCCGGGCGGGCAGCGACACTGCCCTGTCACAGGGTCACAGGAGCCTCCGTTCTGGCACTTACAGACCCCAGCACAGTCTGTCCCATACGTCCCAGGGGAGCAAGCTGCAGAGAGAGGACAGAAAATGAACGGAAACAAAGGAATTGGTTTTCCCTGTGTTCAAAATGAAGTGAAACGAGACTTCCAATACCCTGAATGAGCAATGGGAAAATTGCTTTAGTCAAGCAGGCTCTAAAACATGTCATATTCTTTCTATATAGGGTAATAAGTATCCAGTAAAGATTTGCTGGACGGATAATTTTAAAATGACACCTGAAATAATCAGGCTTACCTGAAGGAATAGCCAAAATTCAATATCCCAAATCACCCCCACATAGTCTCCCCTCCAAATAACACAGGAGTCTTAAGAAATGCTGTGTATGAAGTTCAAAGTTTAAAATCAAACACAATTTTGTATATTTGGACAGAACTATTTTATACATCATTTTTTGGTCTCCCAAATGCCTTTACAAAAATAACGCTATAATTATCCAAAATAATTAGTGTCTCTGAAATTCCACAGAGAATCGTGCACAGAGATGGATCCATAACAACATGGGATACCTTCCCAAAGCTCAAACTGCTCCAGCATAAAAGAAATTATGAATTTGAGCATTGCCCCATTATTTGCAGCTTGAGTCGGCTGAGTAAATGCCATTGCAGGAATCATTTAACTTAACTGACATTTTATCAATGTACATTAAGAAAGTTGACATTTCACATCAATTTGCTTTCAGTTTCTTTTGTGCATTATTGCAGAAATTTAGTTCCAACCTTCTCAACTGTTACACTTCCCATTTTAAGAAAATGCTGTATTTTAAGAAAATAAGGAAAGCACTCATATGATTAACTCATACAGACCAAATGTTGTATTTATTCTGTCAGTGCCTACTTGCTAGACTGCAGGTTTGACTAATAATGCACTTTCATTACCCCTTATTCTTTAAGTTCCAAAGGAGAATTCCACTAGAACACAAGCACAGAAATCCATCATAAATATAGAATAAAAATGTTATCGTTATTTGTGAACTAAATAATTTGAATCCTATCTTGAAAATTTCATTATCTATCCTTAACCACCACAGTGCCAGGGAGTAAAGGCTGAAGTGTCTCAGGTAAACCAAAAATTCCCATTTAGTCCTCTTCATTCCCACTCTCTCACCTGTAATCGGTACTTACAAACCCAATCCAAGACTGGTCACCCCAAATAACTAGAGACAGATGGTTGATTTCAGTCATTTTCTGCTGTTTCTTCATTTTTATCTCTTGGCATCTTTTTATCAAAACAAACCTGAAAATGATCAACCTGAAGACTACTCACTATCTACCAAGGCTAAATAATAATTCTTCAACATTTTTCTGTCCCGTCAGTGACAAGACAATGACAATTCCCAGTGCCATGGATCATCACACTACATACTGTGAACATGGACAAAAGGCCCCACCTCAAACATTTTTTTAAAAAAATACATTTTTAATATCCCAAGGAAATTATGTTAAATAATAAAATATACAGTAATAATAATAAAGAGACAAGAAGAAAACAGGTCCTACTCTACCAATGCAAGAAAAAACACGGAAATTCTTTGGGACTGTGCGAAGGAGGTGTCCTGTTTAGCATGGATATCAATCCCGACTGTTCCCCCAGCTGCCAGGACGGGCTCGGAGCTCAGCTCAGCAAGCTGTGGCAGGGGGCACCTTGGCACTCCTGGCAGCACTCAGCGAGGCAGGAGTAAATACCCCCAGAACCAGTGTGCAAGGAATACTGTCCTGCATCAGAGGGCAGCGAGCTCACTTGAGGGTTCTTGATGTGTCATGCAGCATCCCTAAATTTCATGCACCACCTTGTAATAAAACTTTGATCGTGAAGTTTTGAGGTGCCAATGAGACAGCTGTACTCCCTTAAAGAGCTTTCCAGATTAAAAGTGTAAGAGTTGTACTTTCATATGTCCCACTTACCGACAATGGCACAGCATTAGGACAAAGTCCCTAACATTTAAATGTCATCCAAAAATCCAGCACTCACTTTCATTACAGATAATGCCATTCCACCCAGGTGAGCAGACGCAGCCACTCTTCTCATTGTTGCATTTTCCTCCATTCATACAATCTGCACAGCTCAAGCTACAGTCCGTGCCAAAAGTGTTATCAAGGCAAACTGAAATGAAAAAAAAAAAAAAAAACAACCAACACAGGAGACTTAGTGAGCATAGAGATAAGACTTTCATGAGCTCTTACCTATCCTTCCTGATGCACAAGTGCCAAAATGACAAGTGCAGAGCACTGACAGCTTAAACAAAAACTATTGATGTTGTTACCACTTTGAATTCCACTGGAGCACCCCAAAAGGTGGGTCCAATTGGAGCCTCCCACATTTTCTTCCAATTGAGGGGTCTAAATGAAAATAAAGCTGGGATTTCAGCTGGAATTTATTCCATTATGTACTGTAATTCTCAAAGAGTGCTTAAAACCATTTTTTAAAACCAAACAGTTAAATTGCATCCAATGGTTAGCTTTGTAAAATGAAAAATATTCATGCTGGTAGAGGAATATCTTAATTCCTTGCAAGGCTCTTCATTTCATTGTTTTATTGCAGTAGGTGGATGCTGTACTATTTAGGCATAGTCAAGCAATATTTTTAACAGTAAAACCTAAGTTATTCTAGGAAAATGCAAGAATAACACACATTTATTACTTTTTTTCCTTCTGGGTATGAAAAAGGATACATTTTTAAGGAAGAACTAAGAAATATGAAAATGACCTTCTTCCCTCACCTTCCCTCCCTTTTTTTTCTCTCCTGCACACAAATAACTCGCACGTGCTCATGCACTCTCATGCTCTCTCTTTGCGGTGTCTATTAACAAAGGCACAGAAAGTAAATGTTAGTCTTTGCTAAAATATCTCTGTGACATTAAGATCCTAACCACATGCTCCGTTTATTGCCTGACAGGTTTTATGGATGTAGTCGGAGGTTTTTTGGAAGGGGATTTTGAAAAACACCTGAAAGCAAGTTGGCAGACTACTTCGGTGAACAGTAAGTCAGCAGGTTGGTTGCTTTTCACCAGCAATTTTCTAGGTAAGGCCAGATTTCCTCCAGGTCCCTGCACCCAACTGTTTCCTTTATATAAATCTGAACAAACGTCTGAAACCCAGCGTTCCCACTTTGAACACACTGAAAATTCCTATTGAGACAAAAGAATACAAATCGCCATTAAAAATATCATGTTTCCACATTAAAAAAAAGTCATTCAATCCACACCAAAAAAAACATAAGCAATTGCAATAGCTTATTGTTTAAAGAGGTTTTTTGTTAATTTACATTGCAGCACAAAGACACATTTGAAAGTATCAAGAATAACTTAATATTTGGGAGGTAAAAGAACTTACTAAACCATTAAAAGCTTCCTTCCTTCATCACCTTTGCCTACAAACCAGCAAATACCTTAAATCCTCAATTTAGAACAAGTGCAGATGCTCAGTGCTGAGTTATAGCACCCAAATTTATGTGGCTAGACACAAATACAACATGCAAAAAATGGTCAATCAATATTTGATTGTGGTTTCTGTGCCTGATAATTTTGCCTGTAGTTATCTTATTTGTCTGTTTTACAGTAGGTTATCAATGTCATTGAGTCCAGATGGATGCTATGTGATCTCTAAGGTATTCACAGGTTCATAAATATAAGCTAAACCTTTGATAAAAGCCAAAAGCATCTCCTGAATTTGGCTGTATGGTACAGTCCTTTGATGAGTAAATAGCGCTCATGAGACTCTACAGATACAAAAATCACAGGACATAAATAACCCACAATAAGAAGTTTCATTCCTTCATGAGGTACCAGCACATGATACACTCATCAACAGGCAAGCAGAGCTTTGGAGCTCACGAAGCCCTAAGTGATGAAGTTTCCATGTTCAACTTGAAACTCGGGTGCATCATGAATGTCACACAAAGTCACCAGGGGGTACAAGCTGTTTGCTAGAACATGCACGTGATGTGCTACACGCACGCGCTGCTGGGGCTGCAAAATCTCACGTTCTGCTAATTTGCCACCAGTTGTGAAAGGCCTCTAAATCACTCAGAGCTTTCACCAGACACATCCCTGCTTTTTCCTTAGCACATGCCCAAACCACGTAAGGGATCTGAATCTCTAGAGGTAAATTCTACTTGACCACAAACAGCCATGACAAACATCCTAAGCAAAAACTCTCCAAGTAGAGCTAAAAAAATGGTTTATAAACAACTACACCCCATGTTTTGCCTAACTTTAGGAAAGTGAGGAGGGGAGTGAGAGGGATATTCTCATGGCCTCACTCTTAGCACAGAGGCTTTTGTGGATTTTGTGCACTGCAATAACCTCTACACAATTCCTGCTCTGGCAGCATGGGAAGGATCTTTCTCCCTATAACCTTTGAGGCTTTGGAGACACCTCCTGCTTTCTGAAGAAGTCTCCCATCTCTTACTCGTGTGTTGCTTGCTTTGCCTCTCCTTCCCTCTTCTTGCTTTCCCACCTTCTCCCTAGCAGATTCCAAGGGGAGCAGCCAAGAGCCTTTCCCCCTAGTGCCCAGAGAAGTCCTACTCAAGGGAACAGAACAAGCCATAACAGCGGGTACAGCGCTCCGGTCCTTCCAAGCACATTCCCCTCATTCACTCGCTGTTGTTAGGAGGAACCAAACGGTCACTCACCAGCCCGGTGCACCAGCGTGAGCTCTCCTCGCTCCTCTTCATCCTCAGGGAAGGGCTCGAGCGTGTAGCGAAGGAGCTGCGGAGGGTGCCTGAACTGCAGGCCGGGAATCGCCACCAAGGCCACGTCCGCGTCCGCCTCCACGTCGGCGCTGCCGAGCGCTAGGACACACGCGGCATCAGGACCCCATGCGTGACACCTTCCCCCCCTGCAACTTCCCTGCTAGATTTTTCAGCTGATTTATGTTCTGCATTTAGAAACAGAGTTTCTGTTGTCCAAAACAGAGAAAGAAAGAGAATGCTTCTGTTTCTTTGGGAAGTAAACTCTGGATCTGGAGCTCAGGTCAAGGCCATCTTCATTACCACATCAAATTTTGAATCAACAGTTTAAATCTCCCTTATTTAAAGTTTGAGAATATCTATAGTTAATTAAAGGCATTATCTTTAGCTTGTTTTGGAGATCAAAAATACAGAGTGAAGTTGACTTTTCAACTCATCTTCAAAAACAAAAATTTGAGCCTTAACATGATGGGAAGCCAGGTGCTTTCTTTTTGTAGTTAGATAAATTGGCAAAAACTGGTCCAAAGTTTAGCAGGTACTGAACTAGGTTATGAAACTAAGTAGCTAGGCTGAACTTTTATTTTATTTTATATGATTACATTGGCAGAAATCCAGAATCACACCACTGACCTCAGCAAAAAACTCACACTAGTTCATCCCAGCAGAACTCGGCTTTTTTCTCTTGGCTGCTACAGGATATTAAATTTCTTGATAAAACAGTACAGAAAACTGTCAAAATAGTATTTATTTCTACAAACACAGGGTTTATGCCTTCAGACATGTCCAGGGGATATAAATGCTCACTTTCCATTAATTTCTGGCAAAGCCAATTGTTCAAATATGAACTTGGGATCTCCTTGTTGCCTATAGCACTGCACTGACCATGTTGAAAGATGGCTCGAGTTGGCCTGCCAAAATCCTACGGTCTCTGAAAATGCTGGTTCTGAATTCATATTCACACTGAGAAATAATTAAAGGCCTTCAAGATGTAAAAAACACTTACAGATGCAGGACTGCCTGTTAACACCAAGCCTGTAGCCCTCCTTGCACAGACATTCGTAGGATCCCACAGAATTCACACAGAAATGGTCGCAGTCCCCATTATGCAGATGACATTCATCCACATCTAGGAAAACCAAATATAAATGCTAATTAGGCCCCAGTACCTCTGATTGCACAGCGTAGTCTAAGCCTACCAGCAACCGAAAAACAACCCTAGGCATAAGAAAACCCTCCTTTCTTAGTACTTTGGGGCTTTCTGTTTCTCCCTACTACTGAAAATATTAAAGCATTCCAGGGCAGCATGAAACTGATTATCTCACCCATATCTTTGTCATAAGTAGAAACAGCTGCTGTAAGCTGTGGTGCTCAGCTGATGATCCTTGGCTAGTCTGGGGGCTCTCCTTTTGCAGAAGCAGCCTTAGCAAAGGGTAGCAAAGGGTATATGCAGATAGAGGAGCAAAAGGTCCCTATGCTGACCTGTCTCCTGTGGCCCTACTTGTCCCAGCGTGATGATGAGTTATTGGATTCCAGAGTTAGAAAATTGCAATCGTATTTGGAAACCTTATCAGCAAAGCTGGCACATGGTTGCTGAAGCTCTTCTTAGGAAATTGCTTGGGGTTGAGCTTTGAAGGCTTCTCCTCCCGGCTCTGTGGCCTGTAACGACGAGGCCACTGCCTTATTGTGCCTGTTGTCCACATGGAAATGGGTATGGTGGGAGCTGCTGTGCTGATGGTTAGAGGCAAGAACCCAGCTGTTATCTGCTAACTGCAGGCTGATACCAGCCCTTGCAGCCTGTGGAGCAATTCAGTAGAGGTTCAAGGGGTACCCTGTCAGTGCTGAGCTTGCAAAAGGCTTTTGAGCATTTCCTAGATGAGATGTGAGAGGTCAGTGTCTCAATTAACCTTGGAAAGAATATCGGCCTGATTAGGAAACACTGACAACAGAAAGAAGAGGAGGAAAATGTAATTAATCAATCGAGGTGAAGAGGTCAGCATGAAAATGATTAATGCAGGTTATTTGAACATGGCATGTTTTCCAGAAATGTCACAAGCAGAGTTTCTCTGCGATATTTCGGCTGATATCTTGCTCCGGGTTCTATTAGGAGCCGTCTGTCTGTGTGGAAATATGAAATGTGCATCCAACAAATAAGGCTTTTTGTTTTTGGCTGGTAAGAACTGCTTTTCTCTTCATTGGCCTTGCCAAAATCTTCACCTGTGCTCTCACTTCCCTTGCTGCAGCCAGAATAACTGCTTTCCCTCTGCATCTCCACGAGGAGGTCTCTGACCTGCACCCTGGGCAGAACACTAAGTCCTTTCACATAGACAGGATAAGGAGACAGCATAAACTGGGTTTCTGCTCAGGTCCAGGTCCATATCTGCCTTCCTGCCTCTCTTCTTTCCATTTTTAAGCTCCACTATCAACCAGCCTTACAGCCTGTACAGTGTGTCTGTCCTTATCTGTTTTGGCACAAGTCTGCAATGCTTCTCCTATTCGCAAGACCTCCTGTTTTCTATCTCTCTTCAGATTCCACTATATATTTCTGTGATGCCTATTTCCTTTGGGGCTGTTTTCTTGTCTTGGCTATCCTTTACATTTTTAATGGCATAGTGACAGAAATTCTAAAAGGGTATGAAATACAGTTTGCATAGCAAAAGCTATAAACACAAAAAAATCGCATCGTAAAACTGCATGAAACATGAAGGATTTTTTAAGCTCTTCTCTTGAAATAAAACAAATCCAACTCTACTGCTTTCACTTCCAAAGTGTAACTTCTCACACAGCCAGAAGTGAAAACGCATCGGTGAGTCAATCAGATGGAAATAGAGCAGCTTCCAGCATGTGGAGGCTGCACGTGAAGCACTTCTGAAAAGCAGCCCCTGCACTCGAAGCGGAGCCAGGCGTCTCCTCCACGGGCTGGCTGAGGAGCACAGGCAAAACAAGCTGCACAAAACCCAGGTCTGGGCTGCACACGTGTCACACGGTCATGACTACTGAAGTTCTACGGAAGCATCATTTTCCATTTGGGAAGCAGAAACTCTTCTCATAAGTTAATAGAATACCAAATGCACAGGGCAAGGCAAGTGGGTTAGTACCCACAATACCGGTTAAACTTGTAAGCGAAGGGCAGAGGAGAGGAGACCTCCTTCGTGTGGACAGGCCCGTGCCAGCCCTTCCCTTCCCCTTGCCCTGACCTACCCGTGCAGGTTTTGCCGTCCGCGGCGAGCAGGTAGCCGTGGCCGCAGGAGCAGCGCGGCCCCGCGCGCGCCTGCTCGCAGCGCTGCGAGCACCCGCCGTTGCTGTCCTGGCAGCTGGCCACGATCTCCAGCTCGATGCCTTGTGGAGAGATAAATCAGAAGGATGTTAAAAAGCAAGCGCGGGAGGAGAGGAGCTGCAGAATAGCCCTGCCATAAAGCAGCATCCTTAAGCTGACTGCTGTAGCGGGGAATACAAACTAAGCCAGCTCATACACCACAGGAGAGCGGGGTTTTGAGTCACCAAACACTGGCTACGTGTCTTCTTGTGTCCTAACAGCAGATATTTTTGATTTCACTAATGTGAAGCTCACCAATTTAGCAGTCGACCTCTTATAGGGCTATTCACAGGTTGCTGCAAATTTATGTTTTGTTTGAACGTAGCAGTGAATTCTGCCCTTGCTCCAAAAGGGGAAAGGAAACATTTCAGAAACCCAGACAGATGAATCTGCCTATGCCATTTCCCAGAAATCTGCTTTTTCACTTGTATGTGAGTGGGAGGTAGTTTATAAAACATCCAGCAAACACAAATGTCTTTGACATTTTCACAGCAGAACTCAGCTCCCAAGACTGATATCTAAAGCAGAAGCACATAAGATAACCTGCAAGTTTTGGTCCTCTGATGGACCAAAAGGAACACGGCAGCTCCTTCTGCCTATGGTAACTCCACTAAGGCTGTGGAGAATAAACAAAGATTGCAAACTGCTCAAAAGCTGTAGTAACTCTGATCACAAGTACATGCAGAATGTTTTTATTTGTGGGGCTCGTTCCCTAGTGCCGTGCATAAGGCACACAGAAACATGACCATAGACATTTGCTGAACATTGAGAAAAACATTCTCAGAAAATCACAAGGAAAGCTAAGCGGTTTAAACCACTTTTACTGTCCCCATAACAGATCAGTTCCTATCTATGCATTAGTTGTTCTTCCTTTGCCATTGCACCATTCACAGGACCCCAACGCCTGTAAAATAATTCACCAGTATCTCTCTCTAATGCTTGGGTTTTGTTTTCAGTTTATGTCAATGCTTTGAATTTGATTTTCTTCCTTATTAAATTATTTCTTATACATAAATTCTTAAGGAATGCAATCATTCTCTGGCATGCAGGATATTTTCCTAAGGAAACTTTGCTGAAAGTTCTTGCACAGTGTTATGAGGTTGAACAATCTCTGCCTACCTCTTTGCTGAAACAGGCCATGCTTTTGTCTGCATTCCAGTGAGCTTATGTTAGATCCGTAATAACACCACCTCTTCCACCCCACCTCCTTTATTAATCTAAATTTACCCTCAAGCACAGGCCAGGACTAGAACTCAAAAAGGAGGAGGACTCTTCTCAAAAAAAATCCTCAAAAAAATACCCCTCTGGCAAGTATGAAGTAAGTGAGGGGTGATTACGGGGCTCATCAATGTTGTACTTTGGGAAATTTTAGTTGTACAACAGATTTTCTCACGCAGATTTTGCTTGCTTCCTTCCTTTTTTTTTTTTCCTAATAGAATCTACTACATGATGTTGATAATCTTAGGAGGAAATGTGAGTAAACACTGACAGATAACGACAAAAGCAGAATATCGAGTTGATTTTCTCCTGCTTCAGATCCAGAACACAAAAAAGAAACAGGAGATGGGGACAGGAATAAATACATTTCACAGAACAGCTACATTTTGGGTAGCTCTGGAAGAGAACTCATTATTTGCTGAAAGGAAACCAGCAGGGCTACTTGCTCTTTGAAAGGCAGTAATTAGGGACTGTGAACACAGGCTTAGGAATGTCTCAACTGCAAAAGTGGCTGCTGTGCATGATGAAGGAAATAATATCAAGCTTGAGCTTGTGCATACACTCATTTTGCTGGGGTTCCCATCTAAGTGAAGGAAGTCGTGGAGCATTTTGTGGCCGCGGCGCTGGCACTTACGGTAGCACTGGCTGCCGTCGGCGCCCAGCTCGAAGCCGGCCTTGCAGGCGCACGCGAAGGATCCCGGCGCGTTGACGCAGCGATGGGCGCAGCCGGCGCCGCCCTCCGCGCACTCGTCGATGTCTGCGGAGCAGAGACACGTCTGCACGGCGGGATAAAACACAGCAGCGCTCCGCGCCCTTTGGATCTGCTCCCCAGCGCCCACCGAAACGGGCCTCTTGGTGCTAGTCTGCACGTGACAGCATCTAATGAATCCAGAAACACTAATCCTGCAGCAGCGTTCTACAAAATAGTTATTTTGGTCCTGAAGCTGCTGACTCTGAATCTCTCAAAATGAATATTTACAATATTAAGCTTTGTATTTACCTTCTACATATACTATTGATTGTTTCTGTAGTGACAGCAAGAGCAAAAGGAGTCACCTGAAGAACTTGGAAAACTCAGAAAAAACAATCTTTTTACCTAAAAACACCACTAGGTTCTCACAGCCATGGAATTTAAACTGTCATGGAGGAGGAAAACTCTGATGATTTCACCAGTGAAAAATGATTTGTCAGCCCTTAATCCTGCAGCTTTTCCTATATAAAGTCCTGCAGGGAGGCACCTGCCATAACCAAGGGGGTGTCACCTCACCTGCAAGAAAAGAAGAAGGGTGAAGAGCTCCAAATGGAGACCTGTTCTTCCCAGAGACCTCTCCAAGCCAGTCTGTTCCCCATCTGTATGATCAGTAGTCTGCATTTGCAGATAAATGCCAATAAAGTCAACCGTCTTCTAAAAAGCTCAGTGAAAGAGCATGAGAATATTTTTTTAGGGAATAATTAAAAAACACAAATACTGCTGCTGGAGAGTGTAGCTGCAGAAACGCCTCTGTGCAAAGGCTGGCATGGTCCTCCATGTACCAAACACCTACACGGCCTTCTGCTCCTTCTCTTGCTCTGCTGTTTTGCTTGCAAACTGCAGATCATTAATTGCAAAGGCCCTGGCTCAGAGCCTCCCTCAGGACAGAACTGTCAGGTGTGCAGATCGTTACTTCTTGCCATAGCAAACCACCTTCCAGCAGTTGCTTTCATGTATGTTAGAGCTGGTCCCGCACAGTGAGTGGAGGGGGAGTTCCCTGCTCTTCTCAGGGACCCTTGAGCACGCAGAGGCATTTGGATAGAACCCAGCCTGCTTGCCAAAGGGGCCCGAGGCAAAAGCCTTTCATGAGGTCATGAAAATTTAAGAGTGAATGACAGCTTCTCTGAAGCAGCAATGTGTGCAGTTGCAGCTTAGAATAAGATGGGTTATTTCCCACCCACCCCCCTTTTCTTTTCTCCAATTAATTGTCACTTTTCAAGCAGAATATGTTGGCAAATGCTGTAAATGTTCTTTTTTGTTTTTCTTCTTTTCAAATAGAAAACCATACCACTGCTGCCACCTTGCATGCATTTCTTCATATCCTGTAAATATGGCCAATAGCTGGACTATGAACTCTCCTGTCCTATGCCTCCTCCTAATTTGGTTTCCCGAAAATCAAATACAAACTTGAATTGTGCAAAAGACATTGAATAGAAACAAAACTAATAATTGAAGATTCATGGTAATTGAAGATTAACGATTCATGATTCAAGACTTGCCATGAGATCAGGAAGAAAATTTGTTCTCATACATAACACTAGAAGTTATCTGGCACTTTGGATTATACACAAATTAACGCAATTGTCAACATGTATCCAAGATAAAACGAGTAACATTCGGATCCAGTTATTAAATCTACAGCTGTTTGACCTATTAATCATCATTCCAGTGTCTGCAGTACTTGAGGATATTTTAGCTGGTCAATAACTGTACTGAGATGAGTAACCCCAGTAAAAACAGTGGAATCACTCTGGTGTGCACTGTTCCTCACGGAAGGGTGTACAGGCCATTCAGTAAAATATACAGGGCAAGAAGCAAGGACTTTGCTAAAGCCTCAGCACGTTGCCTAAGACAACGATTTAATTCTCATTAAAATTTTGGTCAATTTTTCTAAAAGAGCAATTCAAAATTACTGCCTGAGTATGTACCCTGCTTTTGACAATACTGTTCAAAACTGGTTCACTGTGAAGCCCATAGGTGCTCAGCACTTCAGAAAACTGATGAACTACCTAGCTTCCAAGCACCACATGAAAAGAGAGAAGCAGGTACTTTGGTCCTTAATTCCCCCAGATTTGGTCTCTAAAATCCTTTAGATCCTTTTGAAAATCCAAGACTAAATATGGGACTTTGGAATTCAACTTTTTAAGCTCTTTGGAAATCTTGGACTTTACAATTTTTTTTCTTCACAGTAGTTTCTCTATTAATATGGAAACAGTTCTCCAGCTAAAAAGCCTTTTGAATTCTAGATAGGTTTTCAGTGACCTGCTTCAGAGTGTTACTTGAACCAATTTTCCACGAGCTGTATCTGGGGCACTATTTTAAAGGGACCATACAAGAATAACGCTACTGTATCTATAAATCCAAATGCTAGAAAGCATGATTTAAGAGATTATATAGAGTAATTTTCAATATTAAAATGTTTCTTCAAGACTTGTGATAAAAATATCACAAAATACTGTTGTTTCAAAATGCACACATATATTTGTATAACATATTCGCTTCCATACAAGCTCAGTGAGGCAGAACACGGAATACCACCTCCCTTCCCAATAAATAGCCCGTACGCGGTTTCTTACCTAAACAGGACTTTCTGTCTGCAGAAAGGTAATGCCCTGGATGGCACTCGCATTTTGCAACACCTCTCTCATTCTGACAGATCTGGGAGCATCCGCCGTTCCCGCTTGCGCAGGGGTCTATCACTGAAACCAATTAGAGCACCCTGTCAACTGAAAGGTCACATTTTTGTCTGAAATTCGTCTTACCTGCCATCGTTACAACTAGCAACTGAGATTACTGTAGCTGAAAGAGATTAGGCTGAAAAAATATTTGACAGCAGCTGGTGCGTAGTTAAATCCATTCTCTCACTGTACGCTATTTTCTCTGCTGTTGGACAGTTTCTCATAGAGCAGCAGAAACACTTTGAACAATGGGGAAACATGCCCCTTATGCAGGGCAGAAAATGTGCATTTTATCCTTGGTTTGCTATAACTGAACAGATTTCAAGTTTGAGAATTACTCTGAACACTGGCAATTAGCATCCCAAGACATAAACACGTAACGGTGGAGCTTGCCCCAGAATAATGCAGGTTTAGAAGTCGCCAGAGAAAATAAATGCTGAAGAGCCCCATAGGGCTCTCCTCAATCTAAAAACATGGAGCATTAATATTGTACTTCCAGATTTGTTTTGAGCAGAGACACACTATTTCAAGCATAAACAGTTCTAAATGGCAATACTTATGAACACATTTATGAACTGCCTGCGAAAGTCACCACCTCCTTCAAGACCTCACTGTATTTTATGAGTTTATTCTCTGGAAAACATCCCTGTGTGCGCTCCATGTGGGAGCATGCAGGAAGTGCCCAGGCAAATAAAGACATTGCACACACACACAGGCCAGTGGAAACAGTTTGAACAGCTCTGATTTGGGGTAAGAGCCAGAGATTTTATACCAGCACCTGATATTCTGCCCTGTTTTTAAGTTCTAGCGTGGAGTACTAGCCATGCCAAGATGCTGGGGAGTAACATTGACTGGCTAAATATGAAGGATACTTCAAAGATGCATCTCCAGTGTTCTGCATAGTTTGAAATAAAGATCTTTAAAAATTAATTTTATTTCCTTAGCAATTCAAGCTGTAATTCATTTTTAGCACCTTACTAATGACTGCCTGATCTGAGCCATTTGATCAGGATTCCTTGCTCACCACCAGCCTGCCTGTGGCTGACCCCAAGCATTCCCTTCAGCAGAGCCTGTCTGCTTTTATCACGTCACAACACGGCATGTCTGAATAACAGATACCTTTTATACACATATATACACTGAAGAGAAGTAAGGGGGTTGGAGAGAAAGACCACTAATTTTTACATATATTTAAATATATATTTTTTCCATTTCCTCCAACATTCACGTGTTCTGTGTGGTCAATGGTGGTCTGTGCCAGTCTGTGCCACTGTTTGATGACAGACAATAGCATCACAAAACACATTTGAATTCCTTCATTTCACCTCCTTGCATCTCAAGAATTTAACCATTCAAGTCTGCAGGATGAGTCTAAGTTAATGGTATATAAAAAATAAATCACTCTTCAGGATGCAGGACTGAAATCTTCTGCTGGACTTTCAACACAGGGTGCAAACAGATTTTTAAGCAAGGGACAGCAGTTCTTCATCCTCTGTGGCACTTTGCAAGGCTGACAACAGCTCTGTAGTTTCACAATTTCTAGTCTACAAAGGACTTAGATTCAAGCAAAATATTTGATTTATTTGCTGGTTCTTTTTTTATTTGGAAAAATTGAATGAAATCACTATCAAACAGCATCTGTTAAACCTGTATATTATAGAGGTTTTCAGAGCTTTAATTAGGCAATGATTACAGCACAGAGTAAAACTTGTAATAATCTCTGGAATGACAACAAGCAAACGACAAATTATAGGGTAGGTGATAGTAAAATGTAGCAATTTCAATAAAAATAGCAGCCTTGGAAGTGGTTATACAAGATTAAGGTTTGTAAAAGAAAGATCTTCACAACATAAGGCAACCACCAATTGACTTGTTTTACACATCTGTTCCTTGCTGCTGGAGGCAGATTTCATGGAATGCTTAAAATAGTTCCTTAGTGTTCTTTTTCCTACATACTTGACTCTATTGCTTGACATTATTAGGAAACAGACTCCATGGTATGAAACCTTATCCCAAGCTGCTATGCACTACAGCAAGAAACACAGCAGAACATCTATCTTTTCTACATGTGCCAGTACAGCTAGGAGAACCCTATCTAAAAAAGCCAAGCTACTGCATGGATTTGGGATGGCAGCGATGTCCTTGGTACACTAAAATAGTGGGTTCTGATCTGTTAGTGCAGGTCTACCTTGGTACAGGGTGCTGTGCACCCTGCAATGCCTGTGCTGGGGACTCCTCCAGCCCTTCACTGCATGGCTGCACAGGACAGGGCCCGACTCTGCAGGCCTAAGTTTTATGACCTCCAGAACAGCAAAAGAAAGAGAACTGGGTCTCACCAAGTTAGTTATTTGCTCACAACAACCATGACTTTATATGGGAAAAGATACAAAGTGGTAAGGAGTAAAATTTCCTCTTCATGGTGGTAGTGGGGAAGGAGGAAAGGCTAAGGGTAGAAATAGCATTAATTTCTGTAGAGGAAACTCAAAGGGGCTTGGGAAAGATATTTGTTCTTTCCACCTCTGGATAACCCAAAGGAAAAGTCACTCTAGCAGATTTATGGGATGCCCATCCCTCTTATACAAAAGGCAAGACCACTGCTGATCACAGCCATACATCCATTACTGGAAAACTACTTTGTCTAACATCATGCCACCCCACTCCGTAGCTTTGTCTTCACACTAAAGGACATATTACTCTATTAGGCTTTCTCTTTTAATCATCATTAGTGCTATAATCATCCATTAGATAGGCCACTAGGACTTAACCCAGCTTGTTTTACATCTCCGCTGTGAGCAACATTAGATATAAACTTTATGCAAGGCAGCACACGGCAAAGATCTCTATTCTAGTGCAGACGAGGGTGCTGATAAATGATTCCAGCCCGCATGTGCATGTGGGTCTGTTTGGTGATGAACTAAAACCAAGAAGCCCTTAACTCAGTGCCACCAGGTCAGGCGGGCACATGTGTTTGGAGCTGTGCAGACGGAGGGGGTTTGGGCATTTCTGTACTCCTTTCAGGGTTGCTGGTTGCAGAATTTCCTCCCCAGGGGTCAGCTCTGACGACTCTGCCCCGCTGCACACAGAGCTCCACTGCTGTCAAAATGCTTGTGACTCTACCAGTTCTCTGTTCAACTCCTGCTGGTTTGAAATTAAAACCCATCAGACTCCTCCCATCTTCTCTGGTTAAAATGTCTCAAGACCTCTAAATGCCAACCCAAACGTACGGCCACTTTACATGAATTTGTTCTTGTAAAAAATCTGGCCCTGGAGGCCAGCTGAGCAGCAGGAGTTCCTTAACGCTCGGAACATGACCTGGAAAATCCCCGAGCAGGACAGAGCCATGTGGAGACGGTTCTGTGGCGGGAACTTCCACGCCAAAAATGGACAAATTCGGCCCTACCTTCCTTGGGTACAACGTGCACGCACCTGCAATATGCAAGGAGGGTCACTGCCTCAAAAGCTGGTAAGTTTTTAAAGTTCACTAAAAAAGCATTAATCAACCCCAATGGTAGCACTTTTCTTCTACTCGTGAGCACATTTGTTTAGTAACCTGGAGGGGGAGATGAATGAATCAGACTGTGTTTATGAGTAACATAAACCAGAAGTGGATAAAGAAAAGACTTCATGCTGAGTAAAGCTTATTATACAGGCCAACTTTATACACGACTTGGTAAGTAATTAAATATTAGGCTTTAAAATGATTAAGTTCCTAGCCTGTGCCATCACTGTCAGTTTGTGATCAATAACCAGGGTCCTATTAGGCTAATAACTTGTTTGTATTTATGAACCAAGGCAAACTCCACACCCAACTGTGTGCAATTTTAAACCTGCTAATACGTGAATCCTAGACCCGCTTTGGCAGGCGGGGTGAAATATAAATGAATATCATGCCCAATGTGGTACCCTGGGCGGGTTTAACTAGTCTTTAACTTTCCAGAGAGGTAGCACAGGGCCTGCTTTACACAGCGGGGCCACCTCTCTGCCTGGCCTGAGCTGTACTTTCTTGCAGTAACACATCTCACCCATCCAACAAATTTATTTCCCATTTCAAACATGTGAATGACAGTCGAAGGATGCAATCCCCTACTTTTTTACAAGGTTTTATAAAAGCACCTGTTCCCACTCTGCCTGCACGGCTTCCCCTTGCACCTGCAGTGTTTGCTTGTGCCACCAGCCGAGCTGGTGATTTGCAGAGCAAGGCAGGTAAGATCTAAGAGCCGTAATGCTGACTGAAGTAGAGCCACCCTTTGATCTGAGAGCAGCAAAACACTCCAGAGTCCAGCGGGTTAAGAGGAAAAAAACAGAAAGGATCCACTGGCATTTTTCCATTGTTTCTTCTGTCCCTGCTAGTATTGATTAAAAGGAAGAAATTGGCTTTAAAGTTTATTTCCTCAGTGTCCTGCCTAGGAAGCTCTAAGTGATGGGAGTCGTAAGCTCCACAGGACGGCAGGACAGACATACAAAGCAAATAACGAGGAACAAGCCATCCTTTAATGTGCCTCTAAAGAGGCTGTTTCTTTTACGCAGACAAATTAATATTCTTCGTTTGTTCAGCATAGATCCCCAGCCTCTGGAGAAACATTTCTCCTCCTGCCAAAACATGTTAGCACACACCCACACCTACTCACACGCTGCATATAAAAATAAGACGGATCACTTGGACCTGCTAGTGTACTGCACGTAAGCAACTGTGAGCGTGCGTGTGACTGCATCTATATATATTTTAACAGCAGTGTTGTACTGCATTATCCATGGGTAGCTGGAGAGGCTATTTCATCTTCCACGGACATCAAGCTCCAGCCATCAAGGTCTGGACCCATCAAAGTCAGCAAAGAGCTTTGCTGTCGAGGCGAGGAAGGCCGGGGCGCAGGAGCGGGAAGGGAAGCTCAATTCCACACTGCTAGGTCGGTACAAGAGTGGTTTCTGCCAGGTACTGTAACAGATGCTCAGAAAACGTTTGCCACAAAAGCTACCACAAGATGCGTTTCACCTGGTGTGATCAATTAATTGCGACCAATTCACTCCTACAATCAAATAGGTGTTAAAAGAGACAGAACGAGAAGCACCTTTTCCTCTACCATGGAAGCCTCTGATGCAGTGGCCCGGGGACGTCTCTCCTGCGCACCCGGCAGGACCCCGGCTGCAGATTTGCACCCGTGAAAGGTCTGCAAACCTGCTGGCGAGTCCCCCTGCCAGCCTGTGCTGCATGGTTTGGTGAGACAGGGTATCCTGGAGCAGCCACCAAAGAGAGAAGGTGCTAGACTGAGTGAGATTAGCCACTAGCAAAGCAGCAGCATAAATTATGCTCGCTCTGCCAGGCTCTGGCAGCCCATCTTTGATCAGGAAAAGGGGAGAGACTTTGCATATAATAAGCCTAATTCTACTCTCATAAAAGGGCTTACCGCTCGTGCTCTGAGCGCATTACTATCTGCACAGGATTTAGGCAGAATTGTGGCACCCCCTCCACTTTCCAGGATTTCCTCTTCACGTCTGGCAGAAACCCAGCCCCGTTGCCAAGCCATTAGGAGCAGAGAGTTTGGGCCCGGCACGAGCTGCTCGCTGGGGCTGGCAGAGCCCGCGGAGCCGCGGCCCGTGGCGAGGAGCAGGTAGCCACCGTTAGGCGTGTAGATGGTAACCCCACTGTTAAACCATGAAGCCTGCGCTTCCAAAACCTTAAATGTAACCTTATCAGTGACAAGGGATGTAACCGCAGGTATTCTGTGCTTTTACTTTGAGGCAGAATATAGACTGCAGTTTTGTAAAGATATTTTCTTTTTCGCTTCACCTATAAAAGAGGCTCAGTGTGCAGAAGTCCCAGCAAAAAAACTCCATCCCAACAGCTTTTCTGCACAAGGAAACATGAAAGGTAACAGCTGGCACAAGAGATGAATTGCATCCTAAAGCCTGTGTGCTGCTTTCCCTTCTAGGAGTTCAAATGGGAATAAACTCCAAGGTAGACAAAGAATTTACATAAGACCAAAAACACAGTCTGGTACAGGAATAAACATGCTCTTTGTGGGCATTTCTGCTTTCCAGGCACCGGTGAGTGAAACTTTAATGAGGTCGGATTCATTAAATTAACATAATCAAGGCATTCAAAACAAAAGAGAAACGCTGGACAGTGCAACCCTTGGTTGTTTTAATTACCGAACTTGTTAGCGATCATTCAGGCTGGCACACATAGCTTCAAATGAATTCAATACGGAGAGAAATCTCTGGGAAAAAAAGATAACCAAGAAAAGGGGGACACTGGCAAAACACAAGGCATTGGAGATTATTGAGGGATTCAAAGGAAATCACATGCTATTCAGAACTGAACAGGGCAACCCATTGCAGAGAGGTTATTTGCTCTAGAGGGTGTGCAGGAGTTTCTAATATGAGGAATGACAAACTACAGAGAGATTTCTTCTCATCTTCTCCTCTAGGGATCACACCAGCAGTGCAAGAATGGACTAAGAGCTTAGACAGGATCCGAAACAAATAGGGAGGACGTGGGAACAGTATGGACACTGCTACATGTAAAGAACTTGTATGGAACTTCAATGATGCTCCATATGATTACACAAGAAAGCAAGTTGTCTCGGGTTTTTTTGAGTCTTCAGAGATGGCCTAAATAACTTCAAGAATACAGATCCACTTGCTTATGTATGTGCCACTTACAAGCCATTTAGGCTAGAAAATCTGCTTCCCTCAAGTGATTTTGGCACTTTTGCTCCTAGAAATGTAGGACTGCCAGGAAAGAAAAAGAAGAGATGAAAAGAATGAACATAACAAATCTGGGCTGTGTTCAGCTGAAAAGCCTGTGTAAAGGGATGCTTGTTTCCTATCCCTGTATCTGAGATAATAACCTTTCACAAACATCATTTCCACAGTGTAGTCCCTTTTTATTCTTAGCGTGCCTGAGAGACGGTTACATCCTCCAAAGTATTCGTGTTACAAATATTATTGCAAATGTAAGCCCTCTTGGAACTGCTCCGCGTTCTGCTCAGCTACACGAGGTCAGACATGCATCGTTGTCACTGATCAGACGAGTGCTCAAAAACGCACGCAGAGCAGAAGGGACAAATGCTCCGTCCCCATCGCTGCCCTGTCACCGAGGGCAGGGAGTGCCAGATTCCCCAGGACAGACACTCATGGAGCTCTGTTCCATGCAAAAGGCTTCCTTCTATCATCATCAGTGAGCACTTTTCTTGAGCTCCAACTCACGAGAGTTTATTATATCCACGTTTTGTTGTCTAAATAGGTGAAATGAAACTCAGTATTCTCAGCTCAGTATTGTGTATATCTATTATCATGATAATAGAGAGCAGCGCTCTCTGTAACTTACTTTTGTTTCTTATCTTAGGATTTATTTCTGTTTCTCCTGGATAATTTCTGAGATACGGTGAATACAAATAATACTGTATTAAGTATTTTTAATAACTTCTTGTGAATACTTACATGTGTGAAATGAAAACTCATTTTCTGATAATGTTCATGGCTGGGAAAACTAACTGAACTTCTTGATTATTTGTGACAAAAGAAAACTCTACTACACCATGCTAACAGTGTTTCTAAGTATTACTTCATTTAATCCCCCAAATAGCCGTTTTTGGGTTTTTTTTTGCATTAATCATTCACTGCTTTTGCTTTTTTCCTTCAATGACCTCTAGTAATTTTTAGTATGAAAGTCCTCCTTCCACACTGTCTAAATGACACCATCTAGGAGAGAGTAACATAACTCAGTCATCACATCTTTGATACCTCGGTCTTACCTCATAAGAGAGAGTTACAATTCTCTATCTTCTTTTAATCTACAGAAAAACATTAGTTTTTCCAGGAAATATGAACCATTCCTCTCTATATTAAACTTATCTATTTCTTTCACACTTATGCTTCCTTTCCCAAATAAGACCACTAAGAAAAGATTGAAACCATATTATTAATTGCAGCTAATTATCAAAATGCGTATGTCTTTATAAACGTAACAAACCTGAAGTGGTAGGTTCTTTAAATAATAATAAAGTATTCCCACATCTTGTGCACTAGTATATCTTGTCTTTTTGCATCAATGACTTTACAACCAAGGGACTGACTTCATGCAAGAACCGAGACAACGACACAACTGTGAGCAAACTTATTCTGTACATGTGTTATGTCTACACTTAACTGTTCCTTCTGTATTACCTAAATTCAAGTTTAAAAAATTCAGATGAGACATTCTTCTCTTCTTCTTAAATGACAGAACATTTTAATCCTTTTAAAGAATCTGACAACTTGACTTTTGTACTAGCTGAACTGCAGTACAAGGGCAGTATTTCTTTTTTTTTTCACAAGATGCAGAATAAACTACAGATTTGTTTCCAGACGCATAACATGCAGTGTAAGAAACAGAATTTATTATCAGTTGAATGGCAGATGTACTTGCTAGACCTTCCGAGAAACACGGAGCAGAAACCGTGTCACATCAGCTAGCTGAACTGCTGAGCTCCCTGGGGCTCTCATTTACATGAGTGTCCATCAGGGGAGCTCTAAGCTGCATGTCACTGGATTTTCATTTCAGCCTGAAAACAATATAGCCTTTAGGATCATGATAACCCTGTCCACATCGTTTTCAGATGCCTGATTCTTAAAATGGGATTCCTCTGACCAACAGGAAATGTCTGTAAGGATGTAAGGACAACAGAGACCATCACTCAGATCAGCAGAGCAGAGTCAGTGTTGGGTGCAACACGGCTGCTACGAGCAGGGCTGCAGCAGATTAAGATGTATTCCTGATACGCAGGAGTGATGCAACCCTTAAAGACAGCTTTACATAAAGGACTGTATCACGAGAGATGGGACCACAGTGGGAACAAAGAGCTATCACAAACCTACTGCCTCCCAGTCAGAAGCCAGCAGCATGAGCAGAGTCTCCAGAAAAGCACTCAGAACTCAGCTTATATGCACAGGCCCCTCTTCATGAGCAGAGAGGATTAGCACAGGATAAACACACTGTAATGTGCCCAAGAGGAGAGCTTTGAGCCCATCCTGTGTATCCTTTTCATTATGCCTAATAACTAAAGCATAACATAGATCTAAACAGACAAATTGACACTAAAAATGGTTTTACATAAAAATTCAGCATACAGTGAAAATTGAAGGAGAACAGATGAAGAGAAGGGCTCCAATTCATACACTTTCTGAAAAATCAAAGTCCTCTCAGTGCATACTTAAATATTTCATTAGCCTTTTAAAAAGCTCCCTCTCCATCTCCCAGGCCATAGCACCTTATTCCCAGAAGCAGCTTAGAAATTCACAAGTTTGGCCTCTGCTCTGGAGCCTGCAGAGGGAATTATCTGCTCCGCTCACTGTGGCACCTCTCAAATTGGCCTCTTCCTCTTCCTCCTTGACTCCCAGCACAGCTAATGACAATCTGCTGCTTCTCACCAGACAGCCTGGGAAACCTCACAGACTCCCAAGCGTCTGCTCAGGATGCTTCTCTATTATAGACTGGGTTAAATTCAACTTCAGTTGGTTTTGGGCATTCATTTATGATCACTGAAGACACAAGGTGTTTTATGGAGCCCAGTGCCTGGCAAGGTACAGTGCCAGCAGGAGATTTCACTATGTTTTGTTGGTGCCTCCTCAGAAAAAGGAGGCAAAAAGAATAAAGAACGAGCATGAGAAATGGGGATGGAAAAGCCAAGAGCAGGGTTAGAGCGTGCAGTGGGATACAATGCAGAGAAAAAAGCTCAGAATTGGGAAAACTTCTTTCATTTGAAATGAAGACTTTTCATTTCTTTGCCTCCTGATGGCTTCAAAAAATCAGGAATTTTTCACAAGACATCACAAATCCTGGACACCAACAAGAAAAAACTGTTCACAAGAAAAAACAAATTTGGAAACTCTGGCAAACTGCTTGAACAGAAAGGGATAAAGATATCCTTTGAGAATTAGGCAAAACTGAGATGGAGAAGGAGACTGCACATCTTTACATTTCGGCAAAGACAGTTCAGGAGAGAAAGAGCAGCTTGAAGGCCGTGCAGTGCCATGTACTCACCGATGCAGGTGCGCCCGTCGGCGTGCAGCCGGTGCCCGGCGCGGCACTCGCAATGGAAGGAGCCCGGGGTGTTCACGCAGCCTTGCTGGCAGCCTCCGTTCACCGCCGCGCACTCGTCAACGTCTGCACGAGAGAGAGAGAGGACCAAAATTACAAAAAAAGATGACTAAAATTACACGACAGACTCAGAAAAGACATACCCTGGTTCTCCCGGCCCATCTACAGATAACACATAACGCAACCATTGCATTTCAATGGTTTTTCTTTTTTTCTTGTGGCTGTTTGCTTCTGCACTGTAAGCGCAGCAAAGAAAATTGAAATTTTATGGAGTTGTCCAAAGTCCCTGCAGGCACTGCCTGTGCACTCTGCACTTCTGAGGCACTTGTTAATGGAAGCGATCTGCAACATGCGTGCTTCCTGGGGCAAAGAACTACAGCAACGGAACACATCCGAGGTCAGCACTGGATAAACATCTGGCTTTGTAAAGGTTTGAGGCATGAAGATTTCCTTTTGCATCAGGCATTTTTTTTAGCAGTTCCTCTTGAGTGTACTGGCACATACAATAGGCAAAAAAGGAGAAAAGGACATGCAAGAGCATCTCAATCAAGCAGTTTCAACCACTGAATATACAGAAAACTTAACTATTGCATTGATGAAGGATGCTGATTTTGTGCCACTTTTTCTGTGATTCTTATCCCCTTGGGTTCCTCATGATCACCTGAGCTTTCCTTGTCTTTTTCTCAGATGACTTCCCTGTCTGAGAAGTGATTTCATTGCAGTGATTTCCTGATGATATCTATTCTGCACCTAAGCAGGCGTCTTGCCATACTTCATATCTTAGAGGATTACATTCAGTCAAATAAATAGGAAAACTGTCATAAGCCACTTTGAAAATGTTTCTCTAACATTTCATCCAAAGATGATGGTGGAAAAAAAGGATCAAGAAAATTGTTAACAAATATGTGGAAGTTTAAAACAGATCTACAAAACAACAACTTCCAGAAGCATGTAAGCAGTTTCAGGATCTTTTCAGCAACACAAGGGTGATGTAAATAGGATCTGATTGGCACGGTGATGTCACTGCCACAAATCCCAACGTACAGGTCATTGCAGAGAGGGGTCACTTAGTCCATACCCTGACAAAACTCTGCCCAATAGATGCCCAGAAACCATCCCCTCCTCAACAGCCCCGAGCCCAGACAACTCCACGCGCAACAACACTGATCCCAAATTATCCTCAGCACTCAATAGTTTTCCAATGCTAAACCCAACTCACCCTTCTGCAGTAGGTAGCTATAAGGGAACCAAGCCCTTTAAAATCCATTTTTTTCCCTTTTGGAAAGATTCCCACTGACTTAATTGCTCTTTGGATCATGTTCTGAAGCCCCCCTAAAGGACAGACCCACCCAACCCAACCCAAGCTGAAGGAAGGACGGGCTGCACGGAGCAAGGAGAGGGGCCGGCACGTGAGCAAGGCAGGAGGGACGGAAAGGAGCAGGGAAACAGGAACGCAGGGAAGATTTTCCTCCCATATTGCACTTGAGGAGAAAGGGATCTGGCTTTCATATTTTTACTGTTGATATATCTGCTTTGCATTTCTCTTTATGGTTTACATTTTTTATGTGTTTATGTTTATTCCATTTCGGAAAATCTAATGAAAATTAAATGAAAAAGGAAGTTTTAAAGATGATTTGGAAACACAAAATAACCTGGTCCTGATGAAATGTAGTTATATATAAAGCTAAATTTTAATACTTTACATGTGAATTCCACTCATGTAAAATGAAGTCCTTATGTTCCCTAGTGTTTAAATTCCGACCATTTGCTAACATGTGCGACTTTTTAGTCCTGCTAAATTTGCTCTTTTATTAGACTGTATACTAGGTACATTTCCTGCAGCCTGGAGGCATCTGAAATACTCTGTAAACAGTAAATAGAAAATGTTTTTCATCCTGTTGAACACAATACTGTTAAGAAATGCTCTACTGAAAAATATCAGGATAAAATCAAACCCAGTCTTGAGTACCACAGAACTAAAATAAGCAAAAAGGTTCAGAAACAGCTGATCTATACAGTATAGCATTTTATGGCACTTGTACCTCAATAATCTCACTTGCTGTGGATTTCCATATATTAATTTTATAGGATACAACCAGCTGCAGAAATTCCTTAATATATCAGTTACAGCTTTCAATTCGGATATCAGCACTTTGACAAAGGACAGAGGGAAAAAAAAAAGAGTGGAAATGATAAAAAAGAGCAAGCTAGCTCTTCCGTGTGAACATTTATACAAGTGACTTGATTTGCAGAGGGGTCTGTGCCCTGGAGCCCCAACAGACCCAGGCAGTTCTCCAAGTGCCTTCGCCCGAGCCACCCTCTGCCACCCTCCTTCTGCATTAACTTCTCCTAAGGGGTGTCCAAGTTTGGGCACCCATTAAGAAAGACAAAGAAAAAAGAAATCCACCTGACCAGAGTACCACAGGGACAATATATTTTGTTCAAATCATAAAACATGGCCCATCAAGAGGGTGTGATGCTAATATGTGAGAGGACAAGCAAAAGACCCTGGGATGCCTGTGGATAAGAGCTGGATCTAACTCCCTGCAGGATGGCGGGGAGGAGCGGGAGAGGATCAGGGAGGCCGCAATGCAATCCCAGCGCTGTCGGCTCCGGACACCCGAGGAAGGGCACGTTCAACAACAGCTCTTTTTAGTCGAAAGCTTTCTCTGCAAGATCAATACTTTAAGCACTAGATGTTGAAAGATTCCTTCACATATCACAGATATAATCAGGAAAAATGCAATATACAGTTGCCTTTCAACTCCTCCTTGGTGTCAGGGACAGGAAACAACTTTGTCCCCAATTCCAGAAGAAAAATGCCTTAATTATTTTGTCTGGGAAGCACTCTGCAAAGCAGACGGTAACCTGAATGTTACATCCACACTGGAATGCTGGAAAAGTGTAACCTGTTTTGATCTTTATACTAAAACATTGACACTTATAAAAGACACATAAACCGGGAAAACAAGAGAGATTTTTTGAGGTATATTAAGTAGCCGTTTCTTTTTCCACGTGGGAATGACTACAGAAATATAAAAATCTTCAAACAATTATAGAGTCAGTCCATATGGGATTACAGGAGATTGTATCTATTTAACAATACACTATAATTAAATTTGGATTATTTTCTACTGACGATCAAACTGAAACAGCTACACAGTAACTTTCTATAGCTACAGTTTAGGACGCTTATCCGAACGAACTTGAATTGCAAGTGATTTAAGGTTTGCTTATCCCAAGGCATACCCTGATGAGAGCAACTGCACTTCAGAAAGCGGTGTGAGAGCAATCTATTGAAATGAAAGGGCCCAGAATGAGAATTTTGTGCTGTCCCCAAATCATTTTGAGCAGGGGATTGGGCTGCAAGGTGAATAAAGCAGGCAATATGTGAATATCCCCATATTCATGTATGAAATACAGAGCTTTGGGATTACTTGTTTGCAATTCAGGGTCATCACTGCAGTGGCATTTGTGAACAGCTCATTCTGTTTTTTTTTTCTTTTTCTTTTTGTTTGTTTGTTTTTTAATATCATAACTAAATGTAATCAAGCACAACTATGATCTGCCAGTTCCTTAAAAATAAATAGGTAGCAGTGTTAACCAGAAATATCGATAATCTGGGGATCTGCAATTATATTTTTTAAAGGGAAAAAAATGCAGGATGTTGTCAAACCTACTCCCTACCAACATCTTAGCCTTTTGAAACATTATAAAAGGAAAACAACACGTGAAACTAAAGAAATATAGAAAGGTGAAAAAGGAAGTTCCAATTTTTGGATTGGGGAGGCTTGAGTACTCGCGTACTCCTTCCACATTACACCCTTAAGCCTGCACATAACAAGCACCTAAACAGTCACCAGCCTCAAAAAGGGACCGAAAGTGCTTGTCCTTGATAATAACCATTGGATAGACACTTAATAAAATCCCAATTGTTATTTCCTTTTAAATCCATCTTCTTCAAAGAACCCTTCACTACCCCAAGACTAATACGTCACCCTCTCTTCCATATTATTGCAGAATGCTACATCCATGACCCTCTTTTCTCCTCGGCAGGCACATGGGTACATTTGGGCTCTGGTGTAGGACAACCACCACTTCAGATCTCAAAATGCCTGGAAAAACACTTAGAGAAAGGCCTGCTTTTCTTTTAAAATCAATTTACTTTTAAAAGAAATGCAAGAATGCTTCTCACCTTGTTTCTTTGTATGGTCAGTATCTGCAACTTTTAGCACTTTTCACACACAGTGTGTGTGGTTGTTTGGAAACTACAAGGCCATGACAAAAACATCCTCTCATATCCAGCCTGTCATAGACTTTCTCCTACTTGCACATTTTTAGCAAAACAAAAGGCTGGGTATGAGATTCTTTGTTACTGAGGCTCTGTTGCAGGCCCGAGTCCCCTGCTCTCCTTTGGGATGGGCAGCCTGTCAATAATGTAGCTATTTCGGGAATCCCTGAATGGAAAGAGGTGACATTTCAAGGCATGAGAAGAATGACATTTACAGAAAGGCCGTCGTGCCACGCGCAGTGACAGCACCACGTGAGGGCTGGCCAGGCCTGGCGTAGGCCGGCCTTTGAGCTCGTGTCCCTGAGCCGGGGGCATTTCCCTGAGTGACAAATGAAGAGGCTTTTCCTCACATTCCTGAGCGTCTGGAGCTGGCACTTCCTCACAGGTGAGCAGGGGACAACACACCGGCTCGGTTCCTTGGAGAAGGTGAAGGTTAAAAACGGATCTCAACAGTGGAAAAGCAGCAAACTGAAAATCCCTCCGCAGCAAGCGCCATCCCAGGCAGAAACTGAACAAATTGAAGCCGTGAGTGTCACCCACCCAGCAAATATAGGTGACTTGACAGGGATGAAGAGATTTATGTCAAGCTGGGAACTGCTGCCAGCCCCGATCGCGCTCAAAGCAACACTACGGCCCTCGCACTAAAAACGTGTCGTTCTGCAGCAGCGCTCGCCCGCGCTCCGCATACACGGCCGTCGGGTTTGCTTGGGCCCGGGTAAGACTGGCTGGGTCACAACATTCGTATGTTAAATTATAACTAATAACAGTAATTATT